CGCTATTTGCGTAAAGATCTCATAATCAGCCTGTAAATAACACTTTTTCACTTTTTGGTATGTTGGAAACGCTGGAAGATGCACACATAGCAGTTTTTTTAGATAGTGACACTCTTACTGAAAAGGTTAACCATCCCTGTTTTAATCGCATGAGATTTTCACGTTTTATCTGTTATATGTGCTTTGCAACTTTAATGATTCTTAGATGATGTGTATTTCATTTATAATATAATTATCTGTACTAGAACGAATTAACTGCCGCCCAACCGGTAAAGTGGTTAGCGTTGCTGACTGCCGTGCCGAAGGGCCCGCTTTCAAATCCCGGAGAAGGCACGCATGTTTGTAAATATATAGTGTTTGTGCGGTCGATGGCAGTACTCTAAATATGCAGCGAGCCGAAAATCCTCTCGTGTGTCTTGGTGGAAGGGGAAAGGGGTGAGAGAACCTCGAACCCGGTCCCCCGGGTTGCTCTCCCTCCTGATTGGGGGCGGAATTAAGCTAAATCGCACTGTCATTGTTCCTAGAAAAAAGAGCCCCCCTGAAGCGAAGTCCCGCCTAGCTAAGGAAACGATGTTGCGACTACGCAGGATTTTTTTCATACCTCACCGAAAATGTCTCGGCTGAACCTCTGTCCCGGGTAGAGACAACCAATCAAAGGAAAGTTCTGCTTCTGAAGTATCACGTGAACCCAATCTGTGAGATAATCGATTAATGTTTGGCGTTCAAGTCTTTGCAGTAAGTGAAAAGGGTAACCTAGTTACGTGGGTTTCCTGGAGTTGTGCGGGTTCTGAGAATTGTCCCTTTCGACGTCAAGTCCCGCGTAGCCGAAACATAATGTGATTGAGGTTTTATGCTCCTTGCCAGAAGGAATTTCGTGTCTACTCAGTAACAGCAGCAACAACAAACTAACTAGTACTTAAAAACATTATAGGTAAATGCGAGACATTGTATCTGAATAACACAACTATTTAGGGAAACTATTTTACAAAACTATTTACGAAAAAAAAAAAAAAAAAAAAGTAATATACATATCCACCATACTTGTTATTGCGATTTATTATTTCTGCTTCTTAATGAAACATTAAGTTTAAATTTTAAATCGAAATTGAATTGGTACGAAACTGTCTATTTTTAAAAAAATATGTTTTCATTTCAGTTTGACAAAAGGAGTTTTCCACAGTATTCTGAGGAACATCACTGCTCAATAAATCAAAACTCAAGTGTGAAGTTCACTAGGAATGTCTACTTAAGAAATGTAAATTTCATTATCGAAATTTATTTTTGGTTCAAGTTTGGTACAATATATTAAATGTAAATTTTTTGAAACATTTAGCTTCTTTCTTTTTTTAATTCAAATAAAATGTTTAATTACTTGTATTTATCATTTTGGAAAGTAAATCTAAACATAAGGCGGGCACAGAAGTTACTTAGAACGCATTTGCTTAAGAAAACAGATTAATTAATTTATGGAAAATAGGGGAAGAAGAATCACAAACCGATATTAAGAAATTACGTATGCATGCACGTGCGTATGTATGTACACATATACATACGTACGCACATATAATACATTCATTCATAAACGCCATACATCCATTAATTTCTGAATCTGATCCCAGTAACAGAAGAGTAAATTTTCGCTCAGTTTCAATGCACATGTCTATTTATTTTTAATGTCTATAGTTAACACAAGATGGCAACACCAACAACTTTTTGAAATATCAGAAATTAAGCAGAACCTCCAGGCCGTGGTTAAGAAAAGTTAAACAATGAACAATCTAATCTAAAAATAATAGCAAAATTTTTCAAACATCGTAATTTTTGTAATCCTATTGTTTTGAAAAGTATGCATTTATAGTGCACTTATAGAAACTGTAAATTAAATTTTTATTAATAAACAAGCTTAAATGTAAATTGTAAATTAAGTTTTTATTAATAAACAAACGTAGTTTCGAAACTGAAAAATCAAACACATTTAATCAAAACGCCCGGAAAGCATTTTCCATTCTAAATGATACTCTCTGAAAGAAATGCTAATTATTCAAGTCTAGTCCCCACTGTAATGCATATCGTTTCTATTTTGTGCATTAGAAAACCTGTTAAAGGTCTCAGTGAATAACGGCATTACTTTTCAAGATGAATTAGCATAAATTACAGTCAAGTAAATAATGAACTTAACATCCAAATCAGTTTACCAGCTTTTTAAAAATATGAGCATCATCATCTTCATGTAATATTTATATTAACAAAAACTTTAATAACGCTTCTATAAATTAACTACAATCTTAATTTTACTTGTAAGAAGAAAATCCTAAATTGGAACAACGATACACTGAAATTTAGGTAACTGGACTTCTATTTTTTATATTTCGAATAAAATTAAAATTTAAAAAAAAAAAAAAAAAAAAAAATCTCTTATACTATAGAATTAAACGAAAATTTTCTAAACCAAATCCGATACAAGCAAATAATATATTCATCAATTTACAATGAAAACTGAAATTTAGTTTCACTCTGTGAAAATACACATTATTAAACATTTTTCTTAATATTTCTGTTCGTTTACTTGTAATTTTGATTTTAAGTATTATTGTATCGGTATGTATCGCTTCATTTATTTATTAAGCAACATTATGTAATAATTGTATCGCATTCTTGCATGTATAAGCCGTACTCTTACTTTTTATCTCGAATTAAAAAAATAAATAAAAAGTCTGAAAGCTTTCAGATTTTATATTACACCCAAAGGGGCGTTTTTTCATTTACATTCACATACACGTTCGAGAGCATTTTGGCTAATGCTCCTTTGGGCTAAATATATTTTAAAAACAGCCTATCTTTAGAATTTCCGATGGAAAGTCTTGCGCGCTGGAGATAAAAATGCTTTTATCCGTACAGTGTTCGGTTGCTCGCTTTGAAATCTTTAAGTTTATTAAACAAAAATTCGTTAACTAAAATATGAAATAGATAATAAAACAAGTTTAAAATTCAAAATTCGGATGAAGGATTACGTTATTCAAATTTGTTTCTAGGTAGCGTCGTTTTCTCACAATGCGAGAAACACATATATTCATACAGATTCTTAACTATTAAATTCCTTTAAATGTAATACAGGGAGATAACATTTGGTGGAAACAATTTTAAAATTAATTCGCCGTTTATAGTGAAACGCCACAAAATGTCGTTTTGAGACTCATAGCCCTTCTGGGCTACTTCTCCTTTTGGGCTAAAAATTTTTTTTTTTGTATCATGGATAAGCTGCAATTAGCCTCTCTTACCATCGCCAATATTTTTTTTCTTTGTAGGTGTGATAGCAGCTAAAATGAAAATAGTATAGTTTAACCGCGACCATGAACACAAAAACGCATGCTCCATTCGAGCTGATTTATTCACTAAATAGGATGGATGGACATAAATCATGCTGTAGAGTTGTTCCGTTATTTTTTCCTCTTTACTTTAAATGCATTCAAACAGCACAGACTTGAGAAGTCAGAAAATTACTTGAGAGTTGTCTAAAATAATATGTTGATCATCGTTTGTGATTAACTGCTTTATTATACTGTGTTTAACTTTATTTATTTGTGTGCATTTATTTATTTATACTATAAGGTTCGTTTACGTTAATTTAACCAGTTATTATGAATTAAGATACAATAACACGCCGAACAAATACTAATTCAGAAGTGAAACAATAAAAATCTTTCTGTTCTAGTTAACGATCCTAATTCCAATCCATCTTTGCCTTCGGCCTCTAAAGAAATTATGTTTTAGTTCTGGTTTCATCAACAGATGGCGTCACTGACTTATTTTCTGTCCAGGCTTTCTTATCTTATCTAATAATTATATCCTATCTCGTTCATTTGCGCTTTTGCAGCTGAGGATGGTGGTTCGGCAAAACCATCGAAACTAGTCCTGTGAAAATTTGAAAATATAACGTTGATTTTTGTTGTTTGACTTCTGAATCAGTCATTATGATTTAGATCTTTGCCACTTCCCCTTTCCGTTTCCTTAACAGAATGCAAATTAGGTTATTTTTATTTGTTGCAATTGTTTTACAGACTAATAAAATTTAAATAGTGTGTAAACATGAAATTTCTGCTAACCAAATTTTAGTTGCATTATTTTTCCGACAATTCGACGTAAATGAATTGAATGACTGTGCGTTTACCGGACCATCTGTGATGGTCAGTAATTAAAATGGGCATGTTGAACAAAGACCAATGATTTACTACAAATTCCGTGGAACGACAGGTAGGCTTAATTATAAAATATTTAAACAAGTATGCGAATTTTTACTTGCATGCAATAGTAAAATTAATTTTCCATAAAAGAAAGATAAATCCATTAGTTTACTCTACACCGGATCGAAATCTTAAAAAGAAAACTAATGTATTGTAATGTACAGTAAAAAAAAAAAAAAAATGATACAACATGCCGTGAATAGTTCTACAAGTAATTTCGGTGTGGAGGTGAAGGGGGGAAAGAATTAGAGTTGGATAAACCCAGTGTCGGATAACCGAACTTTGGCCAATTTGGTTTCTTTTCTGACAATTAATGTATTTAAATGATGTCAGAGCGTTTAAAATTCAATGATTTAATTAATGAGTTATTTAAAATGAATGATACATCTTACAGGTAAATCACTTTTTTTTCTAATTTTCAAGCAGTATTCCAAACAATGACAATTTTACTTTCCTTTTCACTGCTCTGCGGAGTCGTTTGTAACGGCGAGTCAGTTATGTATAAATATTGAATAAACACATATTTACCAAGTTTTACTGAACGTTACGTGTCTTAGTCTCGTGTTATCTCTATTTTTTTTTCCGAAACAAAATCTTACACGCGCCCATCGGTATTGCCTTGTTTTTAGCGGTCCAGATGATATGTGTTTTGAATGTCAACTTTTCAAAGGATATGACACACAGCTGGAGTTTACGAGCATTGTTCATCTCTCTGCAGAAGCATTCTGCCAACCGCAAAATGACGCATCAGAATTGTTAATCAAATTCGGTCCTTCAATGATTGAATAAATGAGTTCGCGGCATACATGCAACTCAAGGGTAAAATCCCGGGTCTTACGTAATTGCATAGCTTTTCATCCATGTCGTCAGTTTTTATGTAGTCTTCGTGTATAAAAATCCCTTTGCTCTCTAAGTGTTAAAATCTCTTCAACATCCTTAAGCTGTCAGGAAAGCATATTGTAAATTCTCTAACTTGCTGTGAATAGAATCGTCTGCTTTCAAGAGGAGAGGAATGGTCGCGAAAATAAGTTTTCTTTACCAGCCGTTGGTGTCCATTTGTAAGTATAAAATTTCTTCATAGAACTATAAGACATTATTTTTAATAGCAGTTATATATTTAATGAGTTATATAATTCTATACATTGATTTCCAAGTCTGTTTAGTGATGGCATGCCGCATATTTTAACTCTGCATGGGAAATCACAGGAAGAAACGATACGTACGTTTAGTGATATAATTTAAGCTGGAATATTTTAATCATAAGAATTAATCTTCGAGAAGTTGAGTAGATAACAGAAAATGCCCATAAGAATACTGAATGCTTAATTATTGCCTACGAAACAAAGTGGAGAGAAAATAATACAGAGGCAAAAGAATTCTGTTAAAATATTTACCTTAAAAATGTCGTTGTAGATGGATAATTGTAAAACAACATCGCTGCACAAAGCATTGTGGTAAAAAGAAAGCATCTACAGAACATCACGTGATAATAATATTACCGGCATATATCTTCACGTTAAAATATTCCGGATGCTTATTTGTAAAGGTATATAATTACTACGAGATAAAATGGAAAATATTTAAAATTTTTATTAGTCACTTTCTTATGTATTGTTAACTTAGTTCCGCGCACTAATTTCGAGTTTTCTTTTGCAACAAAATTTAAGTCAATTAGATATTTGTCAATGCTAAATAATGATTTTACTAAATATATGTATTTCAAATGATTCAGAGGAACGAAACATGTATTCGGAACCCATTAATCAACTTGGTTTAAGGCGTCGAAGCACTTTTCCCTTGATAAGTTCTGTTTGAAGCGTTAAGCAAAGGAGGTTAATACATAATTTTTCATTGTTCAACTTTGTATTATTTTCAGTTTTGTACACGTATTTGAAGTTTAATTTTTCGAGTATTCCTTTAGGGTTACGACTTTTAATGAGAAATATATATGTCATAATTTCGAAGCACAGTTGCGACGGCTGAGTGGTAGGGCGAGAGGAAGAAGTTCATACTAAACTAAGTTCATCCAATTGTCATCTTTATTTCCAGATTTTCAGGCACACTAGAATAATTCCTCGTGGACAACATACTCTTTAATCATACAATTACGATCATTTCTTATACACATTTTGGTTTTCTGAAAGAAATGACGCAGGCATTTTAAAGAAACGAAGCGAGAAGATATAGCAATGTAGAAGCTAGCAGAATAATGACGTAATTAGCTCGCTAGAGGTATTTATACCAAAGTAGATGCGATTCTAGAGACAAGCCATGATTGGTTAATAATAGTTTTAGTTGCCATTTTACAGTAGCGTTACATAACGTAGAAAGATCTCGAATTTGGGAGAACAGATGAATTTAGGGGGAGATCAACAAATCTAGAATGTTAATTTTGAGGTCGCCAATTATTTTTAAAGCAGTTATCGTGTTTTGTTATGTATATATATATTATTAGAGTCAGCAATTACTTAATGTTACCTTTTTGATGTCAGAAAAAATCTTAGAGGAATTCGCTTAACTTTGCTTTACGTTTTTTGAAGTTTCTATGAATGTATCATCTGCTTGTTTTGAAAAGTGTTGCTACTGCTATAACATTGCACTTTCCTATGATGACTGAAGATGTATACATCATTCGTGACCAATGGCCATGTGACACTAGTGACTAGTGACCATGTGTTTGATGGGCGCACATTCCTATAGTTTCATTTGATTTTAATACTTTACCTTCTAAGGATCTTAAGTTTTACTAACGTGTATTTTATTTAAAAACTCTACTATCCTCTCTTATTTTCCACTTCCGCCCAGAATAAACGCGTAACTTTTTTATGCAAATTGTACTTGCTAACGCTTAAGTATTTAAGTTGTGGCTTTTTGCAAGAGCAGAGTTAGATGGAGAGAAAGTGAGCCGTCTGGCCACTGCATTTCACGCGAGCTTGCCATCAGTTGCTGTCTGCCTTTATGGTCAGAGATTTTATTCCTCTCGAAAGCTAAAGATGTATTGTAGTTTTCCACAGTTTGCATACTACGTACGTAATATTTTAAAAGGCCAGTCTTAGTGTTAATCATTCGTATAAAGTATTCAAAGTTAGCTTTTATTTAAATTTTAGTTAGTCAGTAGTTCTTATATTTTTTACGTTCGGACCACAAGTCTTTGTATGTTTGTCTAAGTGCGGGAGCGCCTGTGATATCGTGGAAAATAAAGGGTAATTTAACCCTTCTCATCTTGTTATCCTTGCTACACTCCATAAGACATAGTTTGTAGTTAAACTCACTGTCTAATCAGGGCACGTCATGTTCGCCAAGCAGATTAGAAGGAACAGTAGCCTTGATAACCGAAATTTACTGCAGTGCCCCATACCAGTGAGCTTATGGCTTGGTTGCAGTATTCACAGGTCACAAGTGACCAACAGCTTTGACGGCTAACGATATCCCTCGGTTTAATTTTACTCTTAAGAATTCACCTAAATCCACTCTATTGGCCGGTTGATAGTTTAACATTCACATGATATATTTCCTTTTCATTTTAATATAAAAATCCGTCTAAATCTGTCAAATCCGTAGGATTTGATGGTAGACATTTTCTAATTACACAGAACGACTCACGGATCTATGAACCACTCACCAAATCCAGTTTAGAGCGAATAAGTGAAGTATAAATATGCAAGATGAGTTACAATCTACTCTCGAAAAGATGTTAGACAGAAATTTTTTAAATGTTTAAAATCTTACGATATCTTTTCCTCGACAACAAAATATAAAAACTGAAGGTGTCCTTTTGTCAAACACCATATCCCAAAATTTTGCTCCTGATATAATAGGATTTTACGTAAATTGCTGAACTCGGGGCCGTACAGTGGACCAAGAGGCTTCCAAACACGATCTTATTGTCGTAAGGCATTTATTTATATTATCTAACTAGTTATTTCATGTTCAGTATCTTTATTGTCATTTCTTCCTTTCCGCTTTCCTGCTAGAATGTTAATCTTGGCCAGAGCGTGTTCCGACTGCTGAAGGCCACGTTACTAATTGAAATTCTGTGCTAGCAGTTTCTCTTCGGCTTTGTTCTATTCCTACCAGTACTGCTTGTCTCGCCGTTTGAGATAACTTTTACGTTAATCCTTTCTGTGTAGCCTTTGGGCTCATTTTAGATTTAATTTAAGCAAGTTGAAATTCTTACGTGTGAGTTACGCCATAAATGTTGGCTTGTATTGTAAGAATAAGAAGTGCATTCTGTTGAACTATTTGAGTTCTTAATAAATGGATCTTTTACAACGTTTTTGCGTTCTCTTTTTGATTAATAGGACGTAGTGATTATTCGCTTGATTCTTCAGAGACTTAATATATGCTTCCCAAGAAGGTGAGACTTTAAAATGTTTCCCAAATACGTTCAAATGGCCAATTTTGTGAAAATAATATCATATTCTTATTTTATTGCTTTAATAGATAGACCAGGCGTCAGAAATCGTTTTTGGATGCTGGTCAAAACCAACCAAAATGTGCGTATTAAGAAGACGTTTTGGGTTAGTGACATTTTCATTTCAGAGCAGTCTTTTTGAAGAATAATGAGATAAAATGTATTGCGGAAAGAATTACAATAGACTCTAAGCTTTATATATAAAAATTAAAAGTATAATTCTGATTATCATAAAAACGAACAAAATGAAAACTTTTATTTTTTTCTGCAATATCAATGGCGTAGAACCGGAAGAAACAAACTCGCTACTCGTTGCAAAAAAGTGTGATCAACGTCGCTTGAACCTTTGAAAAGAAGTTTACCTGCTTGAAAAAAAGACAAGAATAGTAAAAAATATTGCATTCAAAGCATTAAAAGATAATGTAAATGTAACAAATGAAAGTAAAATATATGATGCGGGCGAATTTTAAAAGTTTCATTGTATATAATGTATAAATTGTTTCTACCTCTAACTTCGAATCGCATACCAATTTGCGATATGTTTATTTTTCTTATACTTACTGATATTATGAGATTAAAAATAGTTAAATGATACTAAAATGTTACCTAGTCTTTTACATATCATATTTAAAGTTAATTTGCTGTTTTCTCATGAGCATGTATTAAAGATAAGTTTGAAGAAAAACTTTAAATTCGCTTTCCTCAAAAAATTTTTTTCGCAGTTCGATTGTCTCGAAAATGCTCCATGCGTCTCATTTTGAGTTAAAAATGAATGATGTTTGGAAGAAACTATCTTGTTCTATGTTACGGTAGATCTGTGTATGCATTTTTGGATCCGAGGTTATTAAGAAATTTAAACTTGTGATAATGTTTAACAAAGGGTGACATTTTTTTCGGAAAACTGGGTTTAAGTTCACAAAAATCCTTTTTAAAAATTTCTGATCCAGTATACTCAATAATGGATACACAAAAACTTTTGCCAAGTCTTTATATCTAACTTAACGGAAAAATTATTGAAAATTAGAGCGCAATGAGCATTTTAAACCTTTCATTAAAATAATTAATTATTTGTTTTGAAAATTTTTAATTTAAAATAAATTGAAATTTTGAACATATATTTTACAAACTGATGTTATAATATATATATGTATAAAATTTCATGTTGAAAACATAAAAACTTAACTAATTTTTAAAGTCCACCGTCCGCTTAAACGTCTTTGAGAAGTCCATAGAGTAGAGTGTTTTATGGCTGAAAGCTCAGCTTGGAAAGCGCTGTTTATTGTTTCTTAGGTGTCCCTTCCATTCTATTGTTTCTTGCTCGAAGAGGCGTGCTAAGAGAGAACGCGCATCCTACTTCGTCGTTTATTCTTTGACCAATCTGTGTACACTATTGAAACTGTAGATACACTGAGGGTGTCTTCTTTTGTAGATATTTTGAGTTTTGCATGTACTGCAGGGTATCTTAGGTAAGGGTTTGGAGGCTGTTCGAAATTAAGGAGGTTCAAGGCTTGATCTTATACCTCTATGTTTTTCTTATGGAAGAATTTACAGGCGGCCACCGTTGCCTCCTATGAAGGGACATATAATTTACATCCATGCGATCTCCGGATTTCGAGCCCGGGACCTTCGGTAAGGCAGTCAAAATTCCTAACCATTTTCCCGTCTGGGAAGCCATTATTTATTGTTTTTATATATTCTTAAAGTATTCGTTTTAATGTTTATGTTGCATAATTTATTTTTAATCCAAAGAGGCTTTGTCTCTGAGGGACTATTTTTTTCATTTGGTGATTTTCGAATCACTCTGAATGTCCGTTTCACTTTCCAAAGTGTTGCCACCAAATATTATCGCCCTGTATTATATTTGAAGAAATTAAATAAGGAAGTATCTGCATATATGTATATATGTTTCTCGCATTGTGATAAAACAAAGGTACCCAGAGCCATCCAGTTTTGAATGACGTCATCCTACTGCGAATATGGGTATCTGGAAGGCGAAATTTGAAATTTGGAATGTTTTTTATTATCGAGTTTATATTTTGTAAAACCTTAACGAATTTTTGATTAACAAACTCAAGGATTTGAAAGCGAACAATGGCAACGTTGTACAGAAAAATCAGTTTTGTCTCCAGAGCGCGAGATTGTGTATCGGAATTTACAAAAATATGCTCAATTTAAAATTATTTTGAGATATTGCTCGTGAACTGAATTTTATGGTTTAAGTGCGAAGAACATGATATTTAATAAATAAAGGTAACACACAAAATGTTAAAAAAACGCCCTTTTGGCCGTAATTTAAAATTGAAACCTCTCAGAGTTTCTTTTTTTATATATATTATACTTTATTTTCGAAGCTAAAGTAGTTAATTGAAAATATTTTATGGGTCACTCGGTGGCCCATGTGTCATAGGCTGCCCATACCTGGGATAGACCATACTTTTAACTTTTCAAAATAAGCTAGCGTTCATCTTTACGTTGTAATAATTTATTTCCCAAATTTATAAATCTTTAATTTTTATTAAAATGTGATTAAAGTTGTTCGTATATTATGCTTTTAAATAAGTATTCCGAACGTGTTGGGATACATTAATACTATTTTTTAAAGACACGTGCCGTTTAAAGAAATTTAATTTACCGCTAACTGCACTGTTTTTGTTTTCAAAACATATTCTTCTGTTCTTCCTATACTTAAGCACCTAGATTTGAATTAAAAAACGAAGAAACATGAGTTATTTTTTAGTTGCATACCAGAGAAATCAGCTAGTTTTCTCACATGTTTTGTTAAAAAAACAATTATCTTTTATGTTTATTCGGACTGAATCTTCTTAAGATGCAAGTTAATTTTTTTTGGTCATTTATATCTTAATTTAAGTCAAACAACAAATTTAGAAGTCAAACTGATTCTTCGGGGTGTTAATTTAATCTAAAAATTTTATATCTTGTTAGCGTAACATTAAATTATGCAATAAAATACATAAGCATTGAAACATACATGCTGTTAAACATATATTCTTTTCTTTTACGTCGCATTTTTCAATAAAACATTTCTTTTCAGCACAAAATTATAAAAATCCCAAAACATTTATCTCTAGAATAACCTGAGATTATTACCATGGGAATAAAAGTATCCAATCGGACTTAGAATGAAACTGGTAAAAGTCTTTCCATTTTTTCCTCATTTTTCAGGATAAGACTTATTATTCAAAAGTTTTCTATATTTTACAAAATATTAAACATGTTTTAAAATATGCATATCTTATTTTACAATCGCTGCGAGAAAGAATTAAATTAAATCAAAATAAAAAGAACATTAATTGAGTTCAGAAGTTACCTTATAAAAGCATCAACTAAGACTTTCCTTTCAACAGTCACTAGAACAGCCGTTCCTGTTTAACGTATGAGAAAAGCAATGGAATTAAGAACATTGTTTTTCTTATGTTTCAATGTGTTAACTATAGAAGTATTACAACAACAAAATATATTTACCATATTTCGTTTTTTAATTTCATAGTTTTTAGCTGTCTTGTCCCCTTGCGCGGCGCAAGGTCTTATTGCTGCAGATGCCTCGTGGCGCCATCTGTTAACAAAGGTGAGAAGTAGGACGCCACTTCAACCGCAGTATTCTTGAGATTAATAGACATGTTGCGGATCGAACTGAGGTCTGTAGCGTAGATGTCAAATATCGAAACAATTATCTAAAACATTTCGTTTAATACTTGTATGTTTAAAATTATTTTAACTCCTCCAGTGGCCCCCCCCAAAAAAAATACATTTCTGAAAGAGTCGTTTGTAATGAAATTGCTCAGTTTATTCTAAGTTTCTAATCATTTATAATTTGTATAATTATAATTTGCTATATTCCAGAAAATAAATTAAATTCTTTTTCAGGTCTTTTGCTATATATCTGGCTGTTAGAAGAAGCAAATCTAATACTAGCCGTTTCTGCGTCCCCCAGCTCTGATGTCTGCCAGACACCCAAATGCTTCCAAGCAGGTGACGTTCATAATTTCTGAAATGATGTTTCCTCAAAGTGCATGAATACATATACACGGTGGCACAGAAGCTGCACATGGCTTACAATGCTTAATAATGTTTTTCATAATTTGTTTCTGTTCTCATCAAACTACGATTCTCAGTCTGGTAGCACGAACATTATTCAGTCTGCGATCGCCGAAAGAAAGGTTAGAGAACGGGTAAGCCCAAGAACAGAGTTTTCATCAATGCTGTCGCTCATTCGTTGAATATTTTCGAGACTTCGAACCGAGTTCTTTGGCAATCGCAGACTGTATGACGTTACTGAAAGCGTGCTACCAGACGGAGAATCATAGTCTGATGAGGACAGTTGCGCACATTGAAGTGCCGACGGTAGGCCCTTTCAGTGAGGATGATTGATGTTAAAAAAATTACGAAAAGAGGCGTTGCAACCAATGCGCAACTTCTGCGCCCCCCAAGTTTGTTTCATTCCCAACGGAAAACTATACTTATCAAAATGCATTACGTTTAGAACAAAAATGTACAGCTTAATATCTTTTTTTAACCTTCATATAAGCGTTTTGACCCACAGCATCTTTTATCGGATGGTTCAAGATAAACCGAATCGGACATGGGAGATTTCACTTGCTTTCACTTCGGTTTATCTTGTATCTCCCGCTATTTGTGGCGAGCTTGAGTGCTGCTTTCTTTGACATCGACATGAATCTGTGATTTGTTTGTAATGTATTACACCAGAAGATCAGCTCAAACATTTGTCGTCATGAATTGTCCCACCCCGGCAACGCAGAGAATTCTGTGAGGCTACTGATTCGGATCTGTACCTAGGCAGTCTCGGTCACGGGGTTATATAAGTTGTCTTCATAGGACTAGAGCCCCAGATTATTCTAAGGCAGGTTCGGGCTTGGCAAGAACCGTACTGGTGCTGTGGCGTCCGTTCCTCCGGCTGTAGTGGAGCTAGATTGGAGATCGAGACCTCGGGGGTTTCATCCCCTCAAATCCTGTGACAGGGAGTGACAGATCGGATGGAGCATTCATATGAAACTACGCAGCCGATGGAGTGGTGCCCGAATGCATATTTCACAAGTGCACATCTGTGTAGCCACCGAGGGAGTGGTTTCTAGGATGGACCAATGGGCATCCAGTAATATATCTGTGATGTCACCTGACCTTTCGCGTGCTTTAAGATTTAAGCAAGATGGTTGAAAATATTCTGCTACGCAATTTTCTGTACAAAATAATTAAAGTATCGTCGAGTTCTTCTGAAAATTTGCATTGCAAAGTTAGATCGAATATAAGCAAACTGGGAAAATTTCACTACCTGGCTGAAAGAATTTGAATTAAATATAAACACGTGTTGGATACGCCGCAAAAATATCCATGTGAAATATTAATTAAGTGGTAAATAAGATGAAGAAAGAAATATGTGAGAAAAATATTTACACCAATTATGTATATAAATAGAATCAGCATCTTTTTTTGCAGTCTATATGAAAAAGATGTCCTATAATAACAGCCAACACAGAATTTTATTCAAAGTGAACTTTACTAATTTGCATTCGTATACACTTACTGTGTTAAATTTCACATTTAATAACTGCTCACTCTTAAATGTACTATATACACAAGAAATACTCATCAAACAGAATAAATTTATTTTATTCACAATGAATACATTCAATTTATTCACATATAACTTTTATTGTTAACATTGGATATAATCAGATCATGCACAATGTGTATTTTGAATCTTACACTTTAGACATCAAAAGAATGCAAGCACTGAAATAAGAAACACTAGATTCATTTGAATACTTCCAGTCATCCTCAGCTTAATTAAAAAAACTATACACTTTAATTCTCTTAATCCACAGGTGTTAGTAAATGCATAATATTCGAGGCTAACTGTAGCTTGAGTCATTTTCTCGATGTGAAGAGCGATAATACGTCGTAACATCAATCCAAATATTAATGCGTGATAAAAATCGCGAAAGTCAAATGTCAGCGATTAATTAAACTCATGAAACGAAAGCACTACGAGATTTTCTACTATTACGCCGTACATTTATAACTACGAAACAAATGCAAATTAAAACATAAACAACATACGCTCGCATGCACGAAGATTTAGCGTCACAAGAGCAATAGAAGTTCATTGGTCCATTTTCGAAGCCCCTCCCTCAGTGGCTACGCTGATGTGCACTTGTGAAATATGCTGCCCGAATGGCTAAGGAATCTCAGTAGACATTTTTGGTAAGCGTTACAAACTGTCCTTTGCTATGTATAAAGCCGGGCAGGGTCTGCGGGGTCTGCGCCGCCTTTGACCGGGGTCTTTGGATCCTGGATAATGACAACCCCGAATGGAGTGCTGGTATGACTATCCTGGGACGGTTACAGCCGAAAACATCGCGGCAAAAACATCGCAGACGAAAACAACGCGGAGAAAACTACGCAAGGCGAAAACGTCGTGATACAAAACATCGTGGGAGAAAACATCGCATTTCTAAAACATCGTGATACAAAATATCGTCGTCCAAAATAAAGCGGATCAAAAATTTTGCAGTTTAAAAACATCGTCCATCGTCGTCGAAAATATCGTGGTAAAAAAAAAGTATCGGCAAATCATCGCAAGATGATAATATCGCAGACCTGCTTTTTTCAGGCTTTAATAATTGTAAATCGATATTTCCATAATGATTTGTGAGCGCAAAATGGAAAGAAGGATAATCTTTACTTTCATATTTTTTATTAACTAATAAATTTTTGCTGAAAACGTAAGAAGGAAATTTTAGCATAGAAAATTAAGGCAACTTATAGCACTTAATAGAATTTTAAACTGACACAGTTAACTAACAAAGGTCATTAATAAATAATTTTTTATAAAGTTTTTACTGGTAATTTTTCATTAAAAGTATAATCTAAAAATGTTTAGAAAAAGGAAGCTACGTAACCTCGTACATGACCTTATCTACAAAAAATTGCTAATTATGGATTATTTTCTTCACTTTTGTCAATCTAATGCTCTTATAATGAAAATTATTTCTTGTTCTGCTTCAGTTTATTCTTAAGTATTAAGTTTCCTTCTTAATTTTTCAGAAAAATTATTAATTAATAAAAAATATGAAAGTAAAAATTATCTTTCTTTCCATCTCGCGCTCACAAATCATTATGGGAATATCGATTTACAATTATTAAAGTCTGAAAAAAGCAGGTCTGCGATGTTATCGTCCTGCGATGATTTGTCGATACTTTATTTTTTACCGCGATATTTTCGACGACGATGTTTTTAAACTGCGAAGTTTTTGAACCGCTTTATTTTCGACGACGATATTTTGTTCCACGATGTTTTAGAACTGCGATGTTTTCTCCCACGATGTTCTGTAGCACGACGTTTTCGCCTTGCGTTGTTTTCTCCGCGACGTTTTCGCCCGCGATGTTATCGGCGGACACCCCTGGGACGGGGGTCCTTGGTCCAGCGCTCTGTCATTATGGATTCTAACACTAACTCTTCATCGAGAACTAGAGTTAGATCTTCTTTCAGGAAATGTTAAACACAAATTTTCTGTCATTTCGAGGTCTGACTAGGTCAATATCTAGAAAAACTCGACTTCTGGGAAAAGTTAAGAGTCTTCACAGTGACTAGAACCATGGTTTATTTGGTGGTAGTTTCAGGTTCGGCAAGGTCCATATATTATTGTCTTGTCTGCCTCTTAGTTGTGGGGACGTTACATGGTCGATGGGGGCTGGCTCTCTTGGTCAACACTGGGAGACGTTCCATGTCGAACTCAGTTCTAAGCTTTTTTCGGTGGATGCCTTGGATAGCCTTTAGGGGTGTTTAAAAGTGTTAAGGTGACCTTCGAGCCAGCCAGGCCTGGGTGCCTCTTCCTCCTAGTGACACCTGTCGTTTCGAGGATTCTGGTATAAAATCCAGGCTTTTTCAAGCTAAAATTTTCAGACCTTCTCAGCAAACAAGTTATTAAATTTATTATTAAATTTTGAGCGCGCATCACTTTTTTTGCGCGCGTACTCTATTTTCTGTAATAAATGCTTCTATATAACTTCTATATAACGCTTCTATATAACGCAAAGTATCTTGCCTTTCCAAATTTGCGGAGACTCTTTCATTTGAAACTTTTCACAGCGACATTTTCATCACAAAGCTAAATCATGCAGACACTGCGCCTTGCAAACTGAAAAGTAGAATAGTAGTATAGTACAGTATAATAGAATAGTCCAAAGTACAGTTCGATATTTTGAAGGTTTCGTTTTAATAAAATGCTTTTAAACTTGCAGAATATTTTGAATGTTTAAGCCCATGAAAAAGACTGAGCAAAATTTATGAAAATTCATGAATCTGTCAGAACGCCGTATTGCAATTTGAATGCAGTTAAATAATAGAATGAAAGCATTTACCAGCGATGTATACCATAATAAAATTTTACTTAAATATAAGAAAAGATTTAACGAAATTTATTAGAATATTTCTGATACAAGTAACTTACATTGCATTATGAAGTTTGATGTTGAGGATTTTGCAATCTTTTCCTTATCTTTTAGCGACGCTCAAATTTACAGTGTTGAGACCATTTCATTACAGAATTTGAAATTGTAGTTACAATACAAAATGAATTTTTGTTTTTGTAATTGATAATTTTTCCTTTATGTTATAGCTACTGCCATTGTGTCTAATATGGATAAGACTTCGGATCCTTGCGAGGACTTCTACCAGTTCACCTGTGGTAATTGGTTGAAAAGAAATGAAATTTCTGAGGACGAAGAATTCGTTTCCGTTGATTCTAAAATCGAAGCTGAACGTGACGACACTATTAGAGGTAAGTAAAGATATTTAAAGTTTTGACAAACCATTTAATTGCAGACGTTATAGATAACCTTGTGTTATTGTGCTATCTAAAGCCGAGAACTATATTCATGATATAAATAATCATTTTTGTCAGAAAAAAATTGGCCTTATTTTGACGAAAGCGATAAAATGCGTAACTGACAAAAATAGATAGGTATATTGTATAAAAATCGCGAATCACAGTAATGATTTGTAATGTAAGAAGGACTTTTGGTTGGTTATTTATTATGCTACAACTACGTGAAAAGAAAATAAATAAAATAAAAGGCTCCACGAAAAACAAGTTGATGTGAAAACTTTACAATCACAGCTATGTATAATTATTAAAATAAAAAAAATATTAATTTTATTAATTTTAATAATGGATGAATTAGTTATGCCTGAAGAGCTGTCCATAGAACTAATCATAAAGGTTAACCTATATAATTAATTCTTAATTTTATTTATTTTAATAATGGATGGATTAGTTATGCCGGAAGAGCTGTCCGTAGAACTAATCATAAAGGTTAACCTTTATAATTAATTATTCCAACAAAACTATTCCCATGGAGCTGATCCTATGTGGATGGATATTTTTGGAAAAGACTATCTTTTCAGCATAAAAATGGTAACGAAGTAAATATTTAGGCAGACACAAAACAAGAACCCCAGAACTGGGCTAAATCTGTGGTTGATACTAATATTTCTTCGTGTTGGAATAACTACGAAAGCAATTTGCCGCTCGTCAAGTAATTAGAGACAGGATATTCCAGACAGCTTTCTGCATTTTTATAAAAAGTGATGCATTTAAACGGTCTAAGCAATACTGCAGGAGAGCTGTAAGGCTCTTCGGTATCCTGGTTCCTAGAGTTGACAGCGCCAGTTATCTTGGGGTTACCTTTAATAGGTCATTCACCTGGTCCACCCACGTGGCCAAAGTGTGTGGAAAAGTATATGCAACAATACTCAAACTTTTCCCACAGCTTAAAAATGATCAGCTTTCCATCAGTTTGAAGAAAGAATCTATATCACATCTATTTAGGCCTATTATTACGTATGCGTGTCTTGCCTGGACTACTGCCAGTGAGAAAGACTACAAAAAACTTCAGGTGTTGCAAAATAAGGCTCTTAGAATTATCACAGGTGCCCCGTACTTTTTAAGGAACAGAAGCCTGCACTCGGATCTAAAAATAGAATCAACCAAAGATTTCACTGCACGGATTAATTGAAGATTTTATGAGCGAATAATTCACAGAAATACTGAAGTATGACATTCTTAAGGAAGATAGATTTTTTAGGCCCTACGCTGTTCATTCGCTGCGTACTACACTGAATAATCAGGATGACCAATGAGAAACCAGAATTTCCCAATGGTTTTACGATTCAGTTTGATATTGTGTCTTTGCAAATGCGTCAATTCTGAGAGACTACCAACATCGACACTTCAATCTGTTTTCTCCCGGTCAGGTACTTATCTCTTTTGGAGAGTGTTGTTTACGATTGTATCACAAGTAAGTCCCTAATAGGACTCTTTCAATAATCGAGAATCACCTGCTGCAGGCCAGCATAACCGACCAAGTAATCAAAGTATCATAGTATCTAGGACAGCGTTTCCCATATTGTGGATCAAGATCCACAAATGAGCCACGAATCAATGTTTGGTGGGTTGAGATAAAACCTGGAATGTGTATCTATTTTTTCGCAATTTGCAAAAATGTTATGTGGGCTTTAAAAGGCTCATCAGCCCACATAGTAACAACACGACAAAAAAGAAGTAACGCTGTACGCAAACAAGCGACTCGAATGACGTATCGAATGACAAGAAATGAAGAGTATCTTTTCAGTGTGTGGATACATATGGAAAGGATTGTCTTTTTACGCACGATACCTGTCATGTCGTCTTTACTCCAATCAGCGGCTTCGCTAAAAGGTTACGTTTCCATATAATACCTCAAAATCCGAGCACTTAATCAAAAAACTCTTTTTCCAATGAACGCTCAATTCAGCCTGCGTATGCATTTATTTCGAAGCGGTTCATTATCTTTTGCGTTACTCTCAATGTTTATTTGCTTTTTTATCGCCTATTTGATTGCATCTATATATTGGATAAGAAGACGCCTATAAAGAAGACGCCGACTGTAGACGAAAGTGAACTTTCCAACTCAAATTCAAGGAGACCGAAAAGAACAAAAATTGTAAAGAAGTTTGATTCGGACTACTTAGCATGAGGCTTTTCTTGGAATGAGGATGAAGATAATCCCAAACCTGAGTGCACTATCTGCAGTGAAATATTTGTGAACGAAAGCATGCACCCGAGTAAATTACACACCGGGACAATTTTTCAAAAGAAGGCTGAACGTGTCGAAAATATCAAGAAGAATATTTTTGCTTTTCACCAAGATCAACAAAAACTTTTAGCACGCTTTATTGCTGATTAGCTATTAGATTGCGAAAATTGGTAAGCCTCACACAAGTGGAGAAACGTTAGTGCTCCCAGCGATAAAGGATGCAGTTGAAGCTATGTTTAGTAAAAAGCTTAAAGGAAGTCGAAACAAAATCGCTTTCATATAACACAACAGTTTGCAGAATTGATGAAATGTACCAATGGGCATAAATTAACTGGTCCAAGAAGTTGCTGAAAGTAAACTTTTGTCGCCACCAACTGGGCGAATTTACTGATTTACTGAAGGTTTGTCTCAATTGCTTGTTTTTATACGTCACGTATGAAACAACGAATCTCATGACGATATGTTATTTTGCCAACCAGTTATTCGAGTAACTAGCGAAGAAATAATCAAGAAACTCGACACTTGTAAAATCCAAAGCTTTAGACTGTATGAAATGAGTTGGGACATGTACAGCTGGTGCATGAGTTATATGCGGTAAAAAAGCAGTGTTGTGATTTATGTCTTTGGAGTTAGTCCAAAAGTATTACGGACTCACTGCAGTATTCAGTAAAGCGTTGGCATCAAAATATATGCCAGGTGATTTGCGTCGTTTTCGGAAGACACCTTTTTATGCAGGAGTCTTGGACAAGATGCAAACTTACAGTCTGGCTTTTCCCTTCTTCTTTGAAATTTCATATATATATATCACTTGTTTCGCTCTTCAAGAGTCAAATTTAAGCGCAGATATCTGAATCGTTTCAAAAGATAAGCTTAGAAATGTTATATTTATGCTGCAGTAAAACATTGTTCAACCATATGATTAATGCATTTGCTAAATCCTTTCTTTTAATTTACCTTAGTTTGTTTAAATTAATGCAAAGTATCTCTTGTTGCGTTTGTAATTTTTATGAAATTTTTCCAAGTAAAGATTAGAAAACTGTTTTTATGATTATAAAATGTTTAAATTTGATCTAACTGGCCATTCGGTACAAATTATATGAGAACCACAGAAATTTATAGATGCCTAATTATTGGTGCCAGAGACACTTAATAAGGGAAGCGGTATAATGAAATTTCATGAGCATAAATATTATTAATTTTTTTTTCTAGTTCTATTAGAAAAAGAGTTGACAGGAACGGAACCAGATTTCATTGTCAAGCTGAAAGCATTGTACGACTCATGCACGGATAGCGGTAAGCCTCATTTTGAAATATATTTTCAATATGTATATAGTATATAGCTCATCATTTAACTATATCACCATTTAAATAAATCTGAAATATGATGGAAAAAATAATCAATATGCTTATATCATAATCAATATGATATACGGATCGACTTTACAGACGTCTAAATTAAGAAATATGTGTGATTGCACTCTAAATATAATATGGTAATTCTGGACATTAGAACAACATTATGAAAGAATTGTACGATCACAATAAAACTTAATTATATAACCTGCATCGAATTTTAATGTTCACAGATTTAACGACTGAAAAGCAATAAAAGCGCTTGTTAATAGTTAAAATCTTTACCATTTCTTTCATATACATAATTAATAAAAATTGAAATATATTTAAATTATCCAATTAGAATTTAACATATTTAGGTGCTGTTCAAAGCGTTTAAAATTATTGGTAGATGTTAAGCGACTTTTCGCTGAATTTTAAAAGTGACAACTGAAATTTGGTAAGGGTGTAAAAGACCTTTTATTTAAAACTAAATAAGATAAACCGAAGGCTCTCAAGGTGCCTACAGCTCTGCCAAAATGGCGAGAAACTCAAGATAGTAAGCCAAATGTAAGTCTAAATTTGAATAACTAGTAGCCGAAGGTTACACAATCAATTTAACGCGAAGTTGGCTCAGAACTTTACGGGCTGAAATTCAACCATTGGCAATTATGATGCAAGGCCGAAGACAAGAACTCTTAATCTAGAAAAGCAACCTAGTAACGTGGTAACGAGAGACAGAACACGCACTGTCTTATAATCTCTAAACGTGAAACTTACGGAAGATTACGCCCCCCGTGATAAATCGCCAATGATAATTGTTATTTATCGTAAATTCTGAATTGCTGCGGATTGAGTCACGTGTTATTTATCGTGAATTCTGAATTGCTTATCGAATTACATTAATTAATATTTTCTGTTCCAAAGTATTTAATATTTTAAATTTACCAAGGAGCGAAGAGGATTCTATAGGTTTCTTTCAAGAAAGAGATGTTTTGCCTCGTAATCGAACCTATGAAAATGGACAAAAAATGAAACTCTACATCAATGCAAATATATGGCGGTGCAATGTAAAAAACTGCAAACGTAAAACAGGCATTCGATCTGATAATTGGTTTAACGGATCGAGAATTCCATTTGTACCAGTTCTGAGAAAGCCGCCCAGCCGGTACAGTGGTTAGCGCCGCTGAATGCCGTGAAGGGCCCAGGTTGGAATCCCGGAGAAGGCATCGATGTTTGTAAATATATGGCATCCGTGCGGCATGGGGGTACTCTAAATATGAGGCGAGCCGAAAGTCCTCTTCAGGGGTTGGTGGTAGGGGAAGAGGGGTGAGAGACCGTCGGACCAGTTTCTTGGGGTGCTCTCCATCTACTTCTTTTAATATGTAGAGCATATCGAACTTCACCAACTTCAGCTATTCAAGTATTGGCTGAAATTTCCCCTTTGGATCTTACAGTAGAAAGGAAAGCAAGAATCACAAGGCTACAATGTAACGCGAAGCTTTGGGATGGCATGTTTTTCAGTGCCGATTTTGAGCTACATAGCCATGCCATACTGGGACATCCAGCACACACAGATCTGACAAAGTATATTTCTATGACTTATAAACCTGTCTCACACGACAAAACTGTGATATATACGTACGGCTCAAGCACAGAATTAGGGACCGGAAGTGTGCCGTACAAAACAATCAGCTACTAAATAGTTGGACTACACGACTGAATAACAACAACACGGTCTTTCAAGCTGAACTGACAGCACTGAAAGCAGCTATCAAACTAGCTACTAATCTGCGAAACGACAGTGCAGTCATATTTAGCGATTCAGCCTCCAGCCCCAAGATGCAAGGCCAAATTTTTAAGATACAAGGCAAAATAATAAAAGCGAGCTTATGAACAGCATAAAATGCCTGCTAACAGACTGTCCACTGCACCAAAGACATATGCTCTATGCTGGGTGCCAGCACACATTGGCATTCAGAGCAATGAGCAAGCACACGAATTAGCGAAACAAACTACGAACACTATCTCACAACAAAAATACCCGATAAAATTACCAGTGTCATATCTAAAAAAAAATCACTTTAGCAAAGCTCAAAAGAATATGGCAGAACAGATGGGCTGAGGCCATAAGAGGACGCAGAACATTTAAATTTTACCTCAAAGTAAACTTCAAACTTCAAACTGCTATGTAACTCAATTTCTAACAGGGCACGGCCCTTTTCCAAGCTATCTTAAAAGATTTAATCTCCGTACCTTGGATAACTGCAGCTGCTGAGAAGTGGGGGATCCAGATCATTTCCTGTTTCACTTGTAGAGACATTAGCTATATTTTTGGAAGGAGGAGAATCGAAAAATTCGAATTCTTCGCCGGGAATTCTTCGCCGAATCGAAAATTCTTCGCCGGGAATCGAACCACGGACCTCTGGAATACCGTCCCACTACACCACGAAGGCACTCTAGGAAAGCGGGAGAAATACCTTATACACTGCATTAATACTTCTCAAACAGCCGCCCAGTCGGTATAGTAAACAGGAAAGCTGATTGCGATGCCGAAGGACGTGGATTCGAATCCCGAAGAAGGCATGATTGTAACTGCCCGTCCCTTCATAGGAAAGTCGATGGTGGCCCACCTATTATGTGCCTCCATAATAAAAAGACCACCACATTCGACCTTGTATAGATTAATGGACTGGGTTACATTTGCAATTGTTCACAATCTGCAATTGGGGGGGGATTTATTTATTAAATATCATGTTCTTCGCACTTAAACCATAAAAACCATAAAATTAATTTCAACACGAATATTGCAAAATAGTTTTAAAATGAGCATATCTTTAGAATTTCTGATACACAGTCTCGCGTGCTGGAGATAAAAATGATTTTTTTTCCTCACAGCGTTGCTATTACTCGCTTTGAAATCGATGAGTTTCTTAATCAAAATTTCGTTAAAGTTATAAGGTATTTCTTCCACTTTCCTAATGTGCTTTCATGGTGTAGTGGTTCTGCATGCTGGGCCGGTATTCCAGAGGTCCGTGGTTCGATTACCGGCGAAGGCGATTGATCATTTTTCATCTTGCCTGCTTTCAAAAATCCTACTGTCTCTACAGTGGCGCCCGAACTAAAAAAAAGGGTTGTTGGATGAGGATTCTACACACCCAGGAATTGGCGATTAGGTCCCCTAAAAACCCCAGTCGCCCTTTAAAAAGGGGAGTATATATAAGGCATTTATCCCCCTTTCCCAATGTACCTTCGTGGTGTAGTGTAGTGGTTCTTGCACGCTGGACCGGTATTCCAAAGGTCTGTGGTTCGATTCCCGGGGAAGGCGGTTGCTATTTTTCATCTTTCCTGCTTCCAAAAATATACCTAATGTCTCTACAAAATGTTATAATATATTAAATATATATATATATATAAGAGGAACTGTCTTTATGTGTATGTGTCTTTCGTTCGTGCTGAGCGTAAGCTAATACACCCAGGGCTACGAAATTTTGTACATAGGGGGTGCATCTAGACAAGAGAAAGTGCACCTCGAAGCGGATGAGATTCTTTTTTTTTTTTTTTCATTTTATGTGTTTTGATGAAATCGCATTAAATCGGTAATTATCTCTCATTATGTCAGTAACAATGGCACGCAGCCATTGTTACTGATATATCCCACTATTGCCATTGTAGCTGATATCAGCACTGTTGCCACTGGAAAATGAACGCGATAACTCTGTGCAGTTTTTAAATTTAATGTTTCTCTTGGGTACTGAACGTTTGTTTAGACAAGGCAACGGAAAGTTGATTAATTGACTTATTAGGATAATTAATATTTGTACTATTAAGGGATATTGCTTATTTCATTGTAATTTTTTTGTATGTAAAACGTTTTTGTTGAATTTGTTTTTTTTTGATAAAGTTATACTGCAGAGTAAAATTCTGTGCAGTTTTAAAATTTAATGTTTTGTATTCGCTTTAAGGATTTTTTCGGTACATTTAAAAGCGAGACAAAGGTTGGCCGCGTAACAGCTAGTCGATAACAAAACAAATTCCAAATTTGGGCTTCTAGAGGCCCATATTTGGAGGAGGATTACATTATTCAAAATTGGATGGCTCTAGGTGTCGTTGTTTATTACAATGCGAGAAACATGCATACATTTATGTAGATTCCTCATTATTTAATTTCTTTAAATATAAAACAGGGCGATAGCATTTAGTGACGACAGTTTGAAAAGTAATAGTTTGGTTTATTGAGATTACGGCAAAGCACACTAGGGCTATCTGCTTAAGGGAAGGGATGCCTTCATGGAGGAAAGTAACTTTGTAAGGGAAACTAGCTCGTATACACGTTACACATGGGGAAAAACCACGAAAAACGCCTATGCAGCCAGCCCGTTCGCAATTCGAACTTCGGACCGAACTACCAGTGTTCAGTGACTTTACCCCTCCGCCGCTGGTGGGCCTTTGAAAAGTGATAAGGATATTTACAGTGAATCGACGCAAAATGCCAAAACGAATGCCAACTGAACTGAGATGTAAACGAATTGTAATATGAAGTTTCCACACTGAAATCTTTTAGTTATTTTCTTTTGATAAATAGTGAATTTTTTATGAACATATGTGATACTGGTGCTAAATAGTGAATTATTTGCTATTTTGATATTTGTGCTAAATAGTGAATTTTTTATGAACAATTTTATTTAAATTTTCTTTTTGCATTTTAACTCATTAAGCCTTGTTTCACATTACTTTGTTACCTTCTCAATAATATTGTTGCGTGCGTACCAGATTGAACTCACTAGTCTGATGAAAAGTTAATATAATTTATTCGTATCACAAGAAATAAAACAAATGCTGAAATTTTTCCTCACAGATATTCATACAGTATCACACAGTAGTTATATTTTAAACTACTAAAACGTTAAATAGAACACAATTGAAAGCGCAGAGAAAGCTAATCCGATCTCAGAATTACAGCAGCCAAGTAAGCAACAACAACTTAATAACACAATTGAACTCAGATGTTTCTGTCCGGCTTTCAAAGCTTCTTAAATCACCGCGCTGGACGGCTGTAGCAATTTCTGGAAATCAAAAGAGTAGAATTGCGCGATATCTGTATATTAAATGTTAAATGCGCGTGCTCCTGCATTTTTAATTTTCCGGCTTAGCTTTCCCTTAAAATAAGTGCCGTGCTGCATTGCACGGGGATATAAAACAATTTTAATTACAGTTCTACTAAAAATAGCTAACTAAATACAAAACTCGTTAAAGTATGACTATTAAAACACAAATTGCATTTATTTATTGATTTGTTTTGTTTTGATCGATTTGTTTTATTGTTCATTTAATATATTTTTTTTCTGAGAAGAAAGGAGGGAAGTGGAGGGTATCGAACCTCTGAAGAAAGCTCTGAAGAAACTAGGAGGTTGGCCGGTTGTGGAAGGAGGAAACTGGGATGAAACCTCCTTTGACTGGATGAATACTACATTTCGTCTGCGCGAGATGGGCCAAAATGACGACACTCTTGTAACCATGTATGTTAACGAGGACTTCAGGAACAACACGGTTAACATCATAGCAGTGAGTATATACATTACTTGGAGAAACTAGGTAAACTTCTTTGGTAATTTGAGGACTACTATTATTAGTCAAGTTATCTTTACGATGCTGCACTGCATTGTTACTGAGTAGAAGATTTTGTAAATATGGAACTGGATTCATTTTCATAAATGTATTTATTACTTCTAGAACTATTGATTAGAGAGAGAGAGAGAGAGAGAAAAAAAAAAAAAACTGCAAAGGTTTTAGATTTTAATGGTCACCCAAAAGGGTTTATTAAGGTTTTTCAAGCTCTCGCTGACCTCGCAGTCTACAAGTCTGCTGTCACACTCCTAATCTTTTTTTTTTTTTTGATTTTTCACTTTATTATTAAGCATCATTTTCTTTGCACTTAGATCATGCACAATTCAAGATAAAACTTACAAAAGATTTAAAAGCAACGTAGCAGTATATGTTTAGAATTCCCGATGCGACATCAAATGTTGACATACAGTATTCTGATTTTGTGTTTCAGTTTTATCATATCAATGTTCGATTTTTCTTACTAAGATGACTTTGCAAAACTTTTTTTTTTGTCTTTTAATTATTAACGTTTTTTGTGTTTAATTTAGTTATTAAATATCACGTTCTCGGTGCTTACGCCACATAAAATTCCATTCAACAGCAAAACACAAAATATTTAAAAACAGCATGTATTTAGAGTTTCCGATAGACAGTTTCGCCCGTTGGAGATAAACGTGCTTTATTTTGTACAGTGTTGCCGCTGCTCGCTTTGAAATCGTTGAGATTGTTAATCAGAAATTCCTTAAAGTTTTACAATTCATGAAAGAGGTAATAAAACAAATTCCAAATTCGAGCTTCCATGTGCCCATGTTTATGGTATTTCTCCCGCCTTCTTGGTATGCCTTCGTGGTGTGCATGTCTGTACGCTGGGCGCGTATTCCAGAGCTCCACTGTTCAATTCCCGGCGATAGGCGTTCCTAATTTTTCATCTTTCCTTCTTCCAAAAATATACCTAATGTCTCTACAGTGGCGCCCGAACTAAAAGGGTGTTGGATGATGATTCTCCACATCCAGGACTTGGCGATTGGGGTTCCCTAAAACCCCAGTCGCCCTTTAAAAGGAGGAGTATCTAAGGTATTTTTCCCGCCTTCTTGGCATGCCTTCGTGGCGTGGTGATCTGCACGCTGGGCGCGTATTCCAGAGGTCCTCGGTTCGATTCCCGGCGAAGGCGTTGCTAATTTTTCATCTTTCCTTCTTCCAAAAATATACCTAATACCTCTACACATGTTCGGCTCGAGACTATGTTATTCAAAATTTGATGGCTTTAGGAAGCGTTGTTTTTCACAATGCGGCAAACATACATACATTCATACAGATTCTTCATTATTTAATTTCTTTAAATATTATTCAGAGCGATAATATTTGGTGGCAACAGTTTGGAAAGTTATATGCCAACACAAAATGCCCTGTAGAGACTAATATCCCTTTAAAGTGACGTTCGTTTCAAAAGTTAATTTATCCAGCCGTACGGAAAATTTATTAATCTTTAATTCAGAAATGAGTTGTTGCTCATTTCTAAATGAAGCCGTTCACTATTTCATCTTTACGACGTTGAACTGTATTGTTACTGTATAGCAGATTTTGTAAACATGGATTCACTTGCATAACTGTATTTTTTACTTCTCGAAATGCTGATAATAATAAAGTTTCGCCAATTGTAAGTAGAATCCTCTTTTGCAGTCAAATAGATAATATTATATCGAGTTTCAAGTTCTCCTTCATAAATCGTACAAGTCGATGGGTGAAAGATGATTTAATGCCTGTATTCGAACGCATTAAGTTTGTCTTTGAGAAATTTAAAGTACTGCAGATTGTTTTCTTTTTTATTTGCATGTATGCTTCTTATACGATCTTTCATTTTTCATTGCATTGTATTGCTGCACTGCTCTGTGGTTTCATTGCATTGCTCTTAAAACGCAATTTCGTAAACGACACATAAAAGCAATGCTGCGATTTTCAGCTGCGAAATAAAGCCAAGCATTAAATATTTTTGAGAATATCATCGGCATTTTCTTTTCTTTCGTTGATCGGTTCGTTGATTTCTGAGCATCTCATAAACTTAAATATCGAAATTTCGAAGTGGAAGTATTAAAATGGACTCAACATTCTCATAATTATGCGCAAGTTTGTATAGAAAAGTCTACAACTACTGCGAATATGAATATATCGCTGTTCTGTGATCGCTGATATTTTCTCTACTATGAACTTTTGTTTTGTGTACTGAGTACTTTTGTACTGTGTGCTGGTAGCCGCCAGGAGTCTCCGATCTCCGTCACTTGTGTATTTTTTTTAGCCCAACGGGCGTTAGCCCAGAATTTCGTTTTGGTACGTTATTATTTATTTAAATTAATTATAACGTTTAATTTCGTTTTGGCATTTTGTGGTATTTCACTATAAGCGGCGTTTCACTTTTCAAATTGTTGCCACCAAATATCATCGCCCTGTTTTATATTTAAAGAAATTAAATAATGAAGAATTTGCATAAATGTATATATGTTTCTCGCATTGTGATAAAACAACGGTACCTAGAACCATCAAATTTTGAACAACGTACATCTCAACCCGAATATGGGCATCTAGAAGCCCAAATTTGGAATCTGGTTTATTATCTGTTTCATATTTTGTGAAACTTCAACGAATTTTTGATTAACAAATTCAACGATTTCAAAGCGAGCAATGGCGACGATGTATAGAAAAAACATTTTTATCTCCAGCGCGTGAGTCTCTGTATCGGAAATTCTAAAGATACGCTCGTTTTAAAACTATTTTGCGATATTGCTGTTGCACTGGATCTTATGGTTTAAGTGCGAGGAACATGATATTTAATAAATAAAGGTAACACACAAAATGTTAAAAAAACGCCCCTTTGGACGTAATTTAAAATCTCAAACATTTCAGATTTCCTTCCTCTCTCTCTCTTTTTTTTTTTTTTTTTTTTTTTTTGTGTGTGTGTGTGTGTTAATTTTTTTGTTTTGTTTTGTTTTGTTGTTGATCTTAATTTTGTAGTGGTAAGACGGTGCAAAGGTTTTTCCTTGTCTAGCGAGGCAACTAAGAGGAAGCTAACTCCTTCTCTGAGAGGGGAACTGATATAGTTTAAATTTTAATAATTGTCCAAAAGGACTTTTGTAAAGCTTAAAATAGTTTATCAGCAAAGATTACCGATAGAGATGGCCCAGGTGGAATAGCGAAGCGTTTTATAGGATATTAGATGAATATGCATTTATACTATCCTGGAAAATTTATGTATATCTACAGTATATTTAAAAAGTGAAATAAGTATATAATGTAATTCACAAAAATTTTTATGGCTTTTTTTTAGATATATCATGAACGTGTTTTTTGTATTCCTGCACTTTACATTTTAGTATTGCATGTAATGCATAAAAATTAATCATTAAAATACTGTTAATTAAAATGCCTTATTTTTTGTCTATACTGATCAGTTATTAGCAGCATATTGCCCCAAAATACTTTGAATAATTAGGTTTTGAATAAACCTTCGGTTTTTAATAGAGATTTTACTATTTCTGAATAGCGGGAAGCTATTGGACAAATGAAATGTAAAAAAAGTCCTGGCCCAAACAATATCCATATTGAATATTTAAAGAATTTTGGCGAAAACATCCTGAATGTTCTCTTGAAGTTCTATAATAAGAGTTGGAACTCGACTGTTCCTGATGCCTGGACAAAGGCCATCTTGATCCCAATTCTTAAAAAGAACAAACCACAGCAGGAGTTGGACAGCTATAGACCAATTGCTTTAACTAGTGTGTTATCAAAGATAATGGAAAAAATGATTGTCTCCCTTCTTAAGTGGTACTTCGAAACCAATGGCTTAATATCTTCCAAACAAGCAGGATTTAGAAATTACCATTTTACAAGTCAACAAGTTGCATTCTTAAGCCAGAGCTAACAAATAAGATCAAGATGGTTTAAACCGAATCTTAAACTCTGCGCTCCAGAGACTTGAGGAGTGGTGTTCTGCTAATAATATGAGAGTTAATCAGGAGAAGACTACTTGTCAGTTTTCTGTCTCAACAGACAATACTTTACTCCTAGACTAATGTATGAGAAGTCGGTTTTGCAGCAGACGGATGGTGCCACCTGTCTTGGCTGTATTTTTGACAAGCGCCTAACCTGGAGAAAGCATGCAGAGCATGTAGTTGCTAAGGCGGAGCGTACATTACCTATCCTTAAACGCTTAGCTGGTGTTAAATGGGGTTGTAGTAGAGAGACTCTCAACTCAAAATGTATATTCGACCAATACTACATTATTGCTGTGAGATATTGATCTCGGCTACGCGAGATGTGATACAACGTCTGGAGGTATTTCAAAATCAGGCACTGCACGTTATAACCGGGCCTGTTGAAACGACTCCCATTCTGGCAATGCAGTTGGTATCGGCAAACCAACCAATGACAAACGTAATTCAGAAAAATGCTTTCATCCTTTTCCAGAGACTTATTCATCTACCAAGTAACCCTCATTGGAGGAATTATGGTTATAATAAACAACGGAATCTGAAGACACAAAATGGCTTTCTGCAGTGTGTCTCTCGCCTAGAACAATACAATCATATCAGAAAACTGAAACCGACACTGCTGTTTTTGCTAAATCCGTTGGATTATAGCTTCCTTGATGTGCGTTGGACCTGGAAAAAGTTTATAAGAAGGAAATGACAGTTGCGGTTGCATCTTTTAGACTATTGACGGGACATGACTGTCTACAGAATCATTTATTTCGCATTGGACTAGCTGATTCGCCGTTGTGTGTTTTATGTAATAGTGGACGGACAATGACGGCGGAACATTTGGACGAGTGTGAAGCACTGACACATTTTTCCTGTAGATTTCAGCGCTATTGGCAGGCAAGGAGTTTAATGGCCTAACGGCCAATGGAACTGGCATTTGACAAATAAAAAATAAATAGTTTTTAATAAAACCTTCTTGTGATATATATATATATATATATATGTATATCACAAATATATAATTTAAATAATATAATTATAATTACTGCTTTGCTTGATAATATTATAATATATATTATATATATATAATTATATATATATATATTATCAAGCAAGCAGTAATTATAATTTTTAAAACAATTTTGTTCTAGAAAACTCTTGCGCAATATGCTGCAAAATAAGTAAAATATAAAAATTGTAGTAAACTCGCCTAAAAGTTACCAAGAGCTGCTGCTCCAAAAGGTTAAACACGTTTTAAAAAAATTAATACACATGAAAATCAAATCAATTAGACATGTAAAACATTAAAAAAAATATTAAAAAACAGAAAAAGATAAAAAGTAAGCGGAAAATGGTAAATTAGCCCAATTCGATTTCCAAACAGGCTTTTCAAGGGAAATTTCATTTATTTGAACGTCGAATCAAGCTAACCCCATTACGCGTTTCGCCGAAACACACAATTGAAACTTTTTCGCTAAAAAGTTTTTAAAATTTAGACAAAGTGTCTTGGAAATTTTAATAGTCTCAATTCTCTGTTCCAATTTCCCGACGCGTCCGCACAGAATGACACATTAAGGTGTTAAAATATGTTAAACAAAACCTAAACCCTAAATCTAGACTAAAATTAAAATTAAAATCAAAATCCTGTTTGGAAGTTGAATTGGGCTAATTTACCATTTTCCGCTTACTTTTTAACTTTTTCTGTTTTTTAATATTTTTTAATGTTTTACATGTCTAATTGATTTGATTTTCATGTGTATTAATTTTTTTAAAACGTGTTGAACCTTTTGGAGCAGCAGCTCTTGGTAACTTTTAGGCGAGCTTACTACAATTTATATATATATATATATATGTGTGTGTGTGTGTGTGTGTGTACAAGAGGGCAAAAAAGAATTACTCCTACATTTCGTAAAAATTATTTTTAGTTAAAAAGTTATTAGTATTTTTCCTGCTTCAAAAGGTTATTAAAACATTTTTCTAATATATTCTTTTCTCTCCTAAGTTGCTCCAGCCCGATTTAGGTATACCAGCTAATGAATATCTGCTAGGTTTAACAAATGATAACATCGCAGATATTTACTTCAGATTGATGGTTGCAGCAGCTAACTGGATGGGTGCAAACCAAAGTACCTCGGAACAAGAACTTCGGGAGGCTTTCAATTTTCAAATCATGCTTGCTAACGTAAGTACAGAGATTTCTCCATTTGAAACACAAATCATTTGTTTTTCATGATAGTACTTACCTATTCTACTCGTACATTTGAAATTTTCAAGGTAAAGGTTTAGAATGTAAAAGAAAATATATTACTATTCCATCTTCAAAATAACAGCCAACGGGACACACACACTTTCTGTGGGGCTCTTAACTTTTCCGGAAGCATTATCAAAATGCCTGTTTTGATATTTCTCATAAAATGGCCGTCTCATCGTTTTGAATAGTTTTGATTGTTTGAAAATTTTGACTCTGAGGAACCATCTGGATAAGAAAGCATAGTCAAATCCTGAGAAATTTGTCAAATAAGATTTTTCTGACATGACAGGGATTTATATCCAATGAAAAAATCAAACTATTTTGATAGAAATACGAAATCGTGCTGAATGGTTGAAAGATTTTTTGTCTCTATTTATAATACAATTTGATTTATACAGTTCAGGAACTCACTACTTCTTCTATAAGGCTGGTATCACACATCCATTTATTTATTCCAGATGAACAACTGTTTTAAACAGTTTTTCTACTTGCTTTATCACTGAAAGAAAGACGTACGATTTTCCCCTTTCTTTCGCAAAATATTGTAAATTTTATATTCTCTTTTAACAACAACCAATCAGTTACCAACATCGAATCTTCCGTCATCAACCATCATTCATAATGGAGAACTAGACTCCCCTTTACATGGCAACCTCAAAACGAACCACGGTGATTTGCCATTTCATATAGTGTGACAAAGCAGAGAAATTGTTCTGCAGAATTGTACTTCCAAAATGTTTTGAATGTGTCATTCTATCTTAAAGACTGCGCTAACATCTGCAAGAGCTAAATTAGAATATTGCAGATTTCAGTCGTTACGTTTTGCGAACTCTATAAGCACAGAAGTATAATATACCCTAAGTTATATTTTAATTTTGCGTATCTGTTTGTGACCTTAAAAATAAATTACTGCAGAAGATATCTAAATTTACAGATTCTCAGGATGATTATAAATGAATGGTTTATTGAAATTACTGCAAAGCACACTAAGGCTATCTGCCTAAAGGGAGGGATGCCTTCGTGGAAGATGTACCAATTTTGTACCAGGAGGTTTTGAAAACTGGAAAGGAATTTATAGTGAGCATTCTATGACCCTTGACAACATTCTGAAGATATTAAACATATTATGTATCACACAGTTCATAATCTAGATGCAACACCTCTCTAACTGATCTCAATGGTCTCTGATTTAAGTCTTTTTCTGTAAGATATATCATGCAGGTCTTTGCAGACGTTTAATTATACCAGTCTGTCACCTGATTCGCTTCATCAAAAATGACATCGCAAGACATCGAAACCGTACACGTTCTGCACAAAGTGGGGGACCATATTCATGATATTTTATTTCTTCTGATCTCTCAAATACGCCCTGTAATGTTGTTGTACTTTTTCTGAAACATCCTGTACCCCGAGAGAACAGTGAACTTGATGAAGAGGGTGACCAAACAGAAGAGAGTATGAGCACTACGGTTGAGAAGAAACCTTTAATATTAGACACCTGTTGATACACTGGAGGATCTGACAGCATGGATCATCGTCGCTTCAGTAGACATCGCCAGTACGTTGGGATGTTTGAACGTGCTTGCCAGTCCTTTCGTCCGTTGATGTCGGCTGTGCAATGACATTCGCGGCCACAACTTCGAACGATCCCCATAAAACTAGCTCTTGTCTCCTTTCTGACGTTGAACTGTGATACATGGTAATCCAGATTTACGTCAAATAAATGTTTTTCAACTTATTAATTGGCCCCTTTTGTCCCATTCGACGTCACACCCTTCATAATTATTTTTTTTTTTTTCGATTTTCTCCCTCTAAACGTTGTTTGCGACCTCATGGCAATTTTGTATCCACTTGATGCTTTCCCTTTGAATGTATCGGTCGAATTTGGAATCCCCCTACATACATAAGATAGGCTAAAGACCTAAATCCAATTACAAAACTTAAATATCCGGAACTCAATATTTCGAATATTCAAGTTTTCTAATATTTAAATTATACTGTGAGAGCAGTTCGAATTCTAAAAGGGTAAAAAAAAGGAATTGTCAATTTTTTGTATGATCACGTGTCCAAGAGGAACGTATTAAGAAATCGTACAGATGAACTTGAAACTCCATCTTGTGGCAATATCAACAAATATCTCTCAGCATGGGAAACCAATGGTAGCTATGGTACTAATTCAAAAATCCAATCATAAGAATTACATCTTAAAAATATGTCTTTGCTTTTGTTAGAGAAACGAAAAGAAAGAAAAGATTGAGAAAGAAAAAAAAAAAAAAACATACCTGAAAAATATCTGCGTCGAAAAGATTTTTAAAAGTCTATAAATGTTTCTAGCTTAAAATGTTTTTCTTTCCTTCATTTCTTTTCTGTGAATTCATTTCTGTGTTTTAAAATTCATCAGGGTTTTTACTTTACAGTTCAGTGTACAGGAACCAATGCGGAACCGCAGTGATATGTACACCACCGTTGAGCAATTGATGACTGATGCACCACAGGTAAATTTATTATTCTGTAAAATGTTTTGCTTGAATTGTAAATAAAAATAAACACCTTTAGAATTTTAATGGTACTAAGAATATAGAAATCTGCTATTGACTAAAGGGAATTTTTAGTTGAATTTCTAGTTAACTGTTATTATACGAGATATCCACATTTAAAATGACAGAAAAATAATTTTGTCCAATTTAATAATAAATAAATGAAGAAATTCAGCCTAAAAATTAGCATAAATAAGCATGAAATTATTTCTGACTGCAGCATCAGTAACGCATTTCAACATTATCAACGTCTTGCTGTTACAGCGAAGATAACGAATTTTGTAGTTCCATACAAGGAAGATAGAGTGCGTAGTGTCGAAAAAAAGATATGTAGATCTTGGAACATGTTTTTTGCTGCGTCTACAGCACAATTTTATGCGGAAGCTCATTATTCTAGAAATTGTCATGCAAAAATTCCAGAAACTAATTTTGCGAGTTAATTTTGATTTTCAAAAATTAAAATTTATTTTTATAATGACAGTAAAAATGCGATGGAGGACAATTTAACTTACCTTTCAGCATGCGTTCGTTGTGTAATTAGAAGCATCTTCGAGAGGTCTAGGGTTTGAATCTCGGGGAGGGTGTTACTCCTTTTTCACTTATCCTGCATGTAAAATATCTTAATGACTCTATATAACAGAAGAGTTAAAACTTCAACTGCTCAAACCACATTCAAATGTAAACCGGGAAAAAAAAAAAAAAAAAAAAAAAAAAAAAAAAAAAAAAAAAACCTAACGAGAGTCAGTTTGTGGACAAGCGAATTGTGTTAAGAAAGAAACGAAAGAAAAGTCTTTTGACGTAAACTGAAATCTGCATTAAATAAGAATATAACACAATTTTTGTTAAATCACAAAGAGCAGCAGGCAAAATACAAAAGATGCATCAAAGAGGATAAATTATAAAGCTGGCAAAAGTATTGTTAAAATAATAAAAACGCTTATATAAGATTTTCCCTTACGCATGATGCACATCTCATGAGTTATCTACAAGAAATAACACTTAACTCTGGCTTTGAAAATACAACAGTAATTACCTTGAGAGGGATCTTGGATGCAAGATTCGTTAAAGATTCTTCTGAAGATGACTCTGCATGGCCATCATCACGACAGTACGAAAGAAAGATTATTAGCCACTATTCAATGTTCATACATTCCAAAAGAAAAGATAACTATAATACCAGCACTATAGTCTATAGCAGGGGTTCTCAACCGGTGGTACGCAAGAGAAATATAGGTGGTACGCAAAGAAGCAAAGTATTTTTAACTATTAAATTCAAAAAATTTAAACTTCACCATTCTGATTGAGTTTTTTTCTATAACACGCGTAATTTTTTGCGATCTGAGCTTTGCTTAAGGTAAATAGGCATTTACAGACTTCAGCAAGAGATGAACAATCTGTCTGCATGGCAGTTTTCGGTGGTTCTTCTATGCTGTACGTTTCGCAAGTATTCTCTTAGCCGTAGACATAACAAAATTTGCCATAAATGATGTTTTTAAAAGGAGTGATAGAAATGGATGCTGTATTTAATATGAAATAAAAATATGTTCCTATAAAAGAGATAATAGTATATTATTAATGCTCTTAGAGTTTATAGATTTATTAGCATGTCAGCACTTTATGTCGCCATTTCTGGGATCATATTGTACAATTTTCAATGAGAATAATTTTTTGCGTCGGTTTGCTGTCTCTAACAGCAGGGTATTTTGTCTTTTTGTTGCTTTGTATTTCTTACTTTTCTACATAATTTGAGAATATCGTCGTCTGTTTTTGAAGTACTCGTAATATATTGTGTATTTAAATATTTGTGAAAAAATAATAAAACAAACCTATATTTTCAAAATGGAAAAATGGCTAGGATTAACTAAGCGGAAAAGTGAAGATTCACAGGTGACGGGTCCAGGACAATGTACTAGCACTAAGACTATTGAAGAGAAAAGAAAAATTGCGTCTAGAAAATACAATGAAAATTACTTATCATTTAGATTTACTTGAAATGGACCCTCAACCTCAATGTGTTGTTTGTGGTGAAGTATTATCCAATTAAAGTGTGAAGCCATCGTTTCTGAAAGACATCTTGAATCTAAGCATGTTAATTTAAAGGCTAAATCTGAAGAATACTTTAAGAGGAAATTATAGGAGTTAAGAAATAGTAAACAAGTAATAAAATGTTTTATTACTTCAAGTGAAAAAGCTTTGGAAGCTAGTTACCTGGTAAGCCTGAGAATTACTAAGACTGGGGCAGGCTCACACTATGAGAAAACCTTATATTACCAGCAGTGAAAAATATAGTTTTAACATTATTCAACAAAAAAGCAGCTAATGAACTTAATAAAATTCCGTTATCAAATGGTAAAGTGAGTCGACGAATTCATGAAATGGCAGGTTCTATAAAAGAATCTGTTAAATCGCCGATAGTTTTCCAGAAATGTCCAAAAGTCAACGGAAGTTTCATTTGAAAAAGACAAGGAAGCCAGTTTTTTTTAACAGGGAATGAAATCTCTCCAAATATAAAAAAAGTTTTGATTAGAAAAAGAAATATCCATCCCATATAGAAAAGTATTCATCCGGAATTTGAAATTTTCTAGATATACCCGAAAGTCAACGAAGGTTTCATTTGAATAAAAAAAAGAAGTTTTCTTTACAGAGAAGGACATCTCTCCAAATATAAAAAAAATTGGATTAGAAAAGGAAACACCCATAGGTTGCGATATTTAGAAAATTAATTATTTTTCTAAAAACTAGATGCTCTAGTGTTTAATTGCGCATCGAATTAAAATTATCATTAATTACATACACTTACACACATCAAAAGGAAAAACTTTTCTGTGTATATAAAAGTTTGTTCATGTAATACATATTACACTATTTTGTTCATTCCATTCATACCTGTTTTACTATCATTCAGATAACATGTTCGTGTAATACTTGTTATTCTGTTTTGTTAACTTTAAAGATGTAAAACCTGAAACCGGAAGATTGTTTCTGAATTACTTGATATTTTTGCATGCTAAATATATAACGTTACGTGTTACACATGCTTTGCTTGGAACTTCAAACATTTCTTTTCGAAGTACCACCATTAAAGACTAATAAGCAGTTCTTCTAAATTGAAAAAGAGAAAAATTGCTCTTTCACGAAATTAATTTATTTCTATAATTACCGAGAAAATGTCATCTATTACAAATAAAACATACTTTACAAATCCAAATCATTATAAAACACTAGTTTTGAGAAGGAAAAAAAGGGAAATAGAAGTTAACACATAAGTGCGTAATATAAAGCTTGCAGAATAAAAGAAAAAAAAATATGTATAAGATTTATGTAAAATGTCACATATTCCATTCGTGTCCCGATATTAAATTTTACTCGCTGAAAAAAATTTTAACAATTTTGTTCTTTTTATTTTATTTCGAGATTTATGTCCAATGAAAGATTTCTGCTAGTGATTTAAGATTGTAATATTTCACTTTTATTTTCCGATAGATTGACTGGCTTCGGTTTTTCAATGGACTACTAGATAACGGAATCAGTGAAAATGCTACCTTGATGAATTATGCTCCAGAATATACCATCAAGTTTGCTGATTACATCACAACGGTAAACAAAAGGTAAGACAGATTTCATGGAAGCTTCTATTTCTTTAATGATTTGATGAAGCTTTTGGGAATGCTTTTCTTCCTACCAGCGAGTTACGATCTATAACTAGCGGTAAAATATGAGATAATAATTAAAAAAAGTTTTAGATGTCTTTTGATCGATTCAAGAGCAGTATGACTGAGATTCAATCATTCGATTATATAATTATTCGATTCGATATTACATACATTATAAATTTAAAACAGCTAATTTTAAATCATTCTTTAAGTTCCTGAAATGCGACACTCAGAGAGAGATATAATTTATGGAGAAGAATGAAGCTCTCCCACCTTTATACACGGTGGTCTAAGATAAACAGAACTGAAAAAAAAAAAAAAAAAAAAAAAAAAAAAAAATGAAGAACACATAAATTGTAATGCGATGCTGGAGATAAACAAAACAGGATATCTCAAAGCGGAAGCTGGTGGTGGTTCTGGCCTGTCCGGTTTTTATTATCATACGGCCGGCTTGTGCCAGCTAAAAGGATCGGGGTGTGCCCTTAGAATAATAATAATAATAATATGGTGGTTGTATTCGACTTCTTTCAATGACTGTATTCGACTGGTGGACGGCGAGACAGAGCTCACAGTACACACCTCCATGTAAGCAATGCACTCAGTTCACACTTGACAGGATTGTCTCGATCTGTGGCCTCCAGTCACCTAATCCAGTCACCTATCTATGTTATTTTGGTTTACGGGGCAGTTTGAAGGGCAACAGTCACCAGAACAATCTACGAACATTTGACGCACTGATACAGAAGGAACATTGCATCATCAATATCCAACAGGATAAGTTACACAGTAAGTCGCACTAAATGTGATTCATCGAGCTAAACTGTACCTGGACCATGAAGGCCAACATTTCCAGCAGTACCAGTAGAAATGGAGGGACCTACGTTAAATAGGCTTTTGTCTGTTATCTACATGTATAGTATCGCCTTACAGTTCACATGCTTTGTTCACTTGCTTTGGGTTCGATGTATCTTTGGCCAACCTGCAGTTAACAACATAAATACAGTTTTTTTATTTTTTTAAAGGCTAAAATGTAAATTTATTAACAAAGCAAGTTTCGAAATGATATCTTCAAATTTTATTTAAATTTAGCCGCTATTGAAACTGATTTGATTAATACAATGCATATTAAATAACGGCGAATAAAAATCCCTATAGTTAGTTTCAAACGGCAGAAATGTATGTACCCCATTCTATTTAATGTAATAAAAAAGTCAATATTTTACTTACTCACCAGCAACCGCGTGGTAAAAGTCTGCTGAATGCTGGTAATGCGTCTTGGGTTTGATTCCAGGGAAACTAGCTGGCTACACAGTTGGCTATCGTGGATTTCTCCATGCGTAATGGATATACAAGCTCTTTTCTCTTAGAAAGTTCTCCACAAATTCAAAGGCACTTTTTCTTTTAAACACTAATCCCTCGTGAGCTTTGGCATAGTCAAATAACCAAGAAATTATTTTATTTCAGGTGACACATAAAAATATGAAATGACCATAAAATACTAACGTTACAGGCAGAAATAGAGCAGCTGCTCAAAACGTGGAATTTATTTTCTTTTAGTACTTGCTTCGTTTAAGCCGCTACATGTCGGTACGTTGTGTAATATGTGTGCATAAATGTCGCTTTGAGGTGGGATAGTGTATTGTTGAGCAATAGGATAAAAGTATTTTGCTAGCTTAAATTGTCATTGACGTCGTGGAATTTGTCTGATATGCACAGTTGCACGAGCTAGAACTCTAGCTTTCATTAATTTATATGAGCTCCAGAACTAATTTGTAAAATCAAAAGTTTAAAAAAATAATAACGTTACAAAAGAAATGAACGTTTCAGGACTGACATAATTTTTTCTTTTCCTGTAAATTCTTGTTGCATGCCTTTTAAATATGTATTTTCACTCGTAGATATCACTATTTTAACTAATTCATTCAAAAAACTCCTCGGACGCTTGCAAGTTAATGTGTCAGTAGTGAGTAATGGGTAGTGATTGAGAGAGAAGAATTAAAATGTAACGATTTCGAAAATTTAGTGATTACATTACTTCTGGTTTCAGAGTGGTGGCTAACTATATGATGTGGAGAGTTGTTCTAAAATCTTTTCCCTATTTATCATGTGTTTGGAAGTCTCTGCCTCAAGAATACGTCTCAGCGATCACAGGGCAAGTGAAAGACAAGCCACTCTGGAAAAGTTGCATTTCTACCCTATTTAGCGAAATGGGACTGGCCCTCAATTCCTACTATGTGCGAAATTACTTCAAAGAAGAAAGCAAGGATATTGTAAGTCCCAAACCTTTTTATCTATGAGTGTACATGGTACATAGAGTGTTTCAGAAAAAAAATGGGATAAACTTTAAGAAGTCGAACGCATTGAAACAATAATTTTTCCCCAACAGATTCAATGGTAAAAAAATTAAATTTAAAGCTCCAGACAGCGCATGCTTCCGAGCAAGCAGCAGCGCCGCAAGGATAAATTTTGCTTCTATTTCAGCTTCTGAAGCAAAAGATTACGATTCGATTTGCAAGAAAACACCCGACTCGACCAGGGTGGGTGGGAGGTACAATATTTTATCATAGGAGGTATTGCCAGATTTGTTGGGGGTTATGTTCCAGCAGCCAACGAGCAGCATATGTTCCAGCATGATGGAGCACCAGCCCATTTTCGACAAAACACAAGGATATTATCTTTCTCAGTCATAAAACTTCGCGAAGTAGTCCCACACCTAGGCCCCAGAATGTCCCGATTTACCGTGCATCAACTTCTTTTTGTAAGAGCATCTTATACAAACTTCCCTTGAATGTGATGGGGAACTTGTTGCTAGAATTTCGGTGGGCATGTGCGTTGTGTTCTAAACTAATTTTATCTTTTGTGTCATTCTCATGTTCGCGTTTCACCTTCTTGTCATAATCAAACTCTCTGTAGCGCTTTCACGTTTTATTTTCGACCATGCATTCTGTAACAAAAGTTACTATTTCGGTATACACTACTAATGTTTAAAAATTTTCTTATCGTTTTTGAATCAGTCTACACAGTTTATCTGTAATGTCTGTATTCTAGTGGGGTTTAGCCTGCTCGAAAAGCACTACTTGTTACTTACTACAGGGGATTAAATTTGTCCTTATACGAGTTCCTAAATGGAAATGGCATTAAAAGAACAATGAACTTTTCGAGATTAGAGAAATAACCTGGGCAAGCCACATTTCTCATGATATCGGATTAATAAATTGGAGCATTGTCAAAAAAAAAAAAAAAAAAAAAAGGAGTACAGACTGTCAAAATCTGGCACCGCGTAGTTAAACTATCAGGATCTACCGAACGGAAACTCTTTTGCAATAGCAGTACGGTATTTGACTGCCACACAATAGATCCATTATCGAGTTATAAAGTTTTTTACCATTCTCAAGAATACGCGAAAGTAGTACGCTGCTACACTTCTCATCGGTGCTAATAGATAGCATCACGAGAAAGCCACAAATCACAGATTAGCATCAGGCAAGCATATCACTACGTGATTGCTACAGTGGTAACCTGGAGAGCTACGCACTTCCGTCCACTGGGGATAAATGACAAATTGAACTCCGTCCACTGGGGATACGCCAAAGTCCTCATGCTCCACCCAACAACTTAATGACGACACACATGCCAACAGAACAGGCTCTCAACTATGATCCACAATGCAAAAAGGGCTGCAACTAAATACGCCCAAGCACTGGAGCTTCAGCCCATCAAGAAATTGGATTCACAACAATGCTAGCTACTCGAACTTAATCCACAACGATCAATCGCGTTATGTCTCATCAAAAATGCTTTGGAAGGAAGGATGTAGCGATCCCTAGAGTCAATCAAACGCTCGCAACACCAACCTGTTCGAACATTAGATGTTCCACACGAGAACTCTTTTGTGATAGCGCTATTTGACAGCAACTTATTAGATACATGATCAAATTATAAGGTTGTTTACCATCCACAAGAATCCAAACCTCGAGCGCTGCACTTCTCATCGGTGCTGACAGATAGAGACACGAGCAGAGACCTTGAGATGAATTACAGACCAGCCTCAAACGAGCATAACACCACATGATTCCCACAAGGGGGAAGGGATGATAAATATTAAAAAAAAAGTAAAGGGGACCCCAGTGTTGAAAGAATGTGAATGTACATAAACAATTTTGCAACGGCAGTTGGAAGGCAAAAACCCACTCTTTTTTTAAATCATACGTGAATAATGTATGCTTATGAGAAAGCAATGTTATGAAATAATACTAAATAAATTATGTTACTCTTCTTAAACAGTTGAATTTTCATATCAAATTTTTGCATTTAACCATTTTCGCAATTACATGTTCGTGGTTTGTTCATTAAATTTGGCGACAAAAGTTAGTCGACAAAACTGTTGCCAGGTTGGCGATATCTCGCCAAATTCGCGAGATAGTCGTTTACTTATTGTAAAATAGACGTGCCCCTGTATTCTTATTTTTCCGACAGATCATCTCTCTAGATTTAATGTTACATTAGACAGAAAAATATAACAATTTCACTAAAATTATGTATCTACGTTCAAAATTCGTAACAATACAAAGACATAATACTTTCACTCATTCGTTTTGAACAGAAGAATTTTACTGAATTACAGAAGAATTTTTTTTCGGTCTTTATTAAATTAAGACACGTAAAGTACCACATTCTACAATAGATTTAGATGACTTTGTGTTATATCCAGACAGATCAGAAGAAAACTGGTTTTTGGATTTTGATTTTGCTGCAAAAGCTTAAAGGAATGTGTAGTGGGTTTCATTATTTTGCCAATAATTGTGCAATTTTTAACTGGCTTATTGATTCGTTGTTTTAGTTTCGTGCTTGATTCCTGGATTACATAAATTACAAAACTGCTAAAGTAGGAATCAGAAAGATATGAAATTAAGACAGTTTTCATGACTTTAACCTAATGTAACTAAAGAAATAGACGAGAGAGGGCCTTCGAGTACTTATTTAATTACTACTTTCAGAATTTGATAATTTGAATTTGAAATTGCTAATCTGTCATTGATCTAGATTGAGGAGATACTAAACGTAAATGATAGGAGTTCCAAATGAAAAGGGAGAAAAGCATTCTTATGTAATTTTATATGTGCATTTACTGCAGATTTACAAGTTTTGTTGTCAGATGATTATAAAATTTCATATTTCCATTCTCAGTCTGTGCAAATTTGTTTATAATTTTAAATTCATCATATTGTTGCTTGTTTGTCATTCACTAACATAATCTATGTAGAAAAGTATGTCAATTTGTAAGTCTGCTGGAATTTGTTTTATTTCGCGCATTTTTTAAAAAATTATTTGAAAGAGAATGCATACAAAATCTTGGATGGTGTCTTAATATTGTAATAATTACAATTACACTTTATGTAAATAGATATCAAAACAAATCAAAATTTTGTGTAGCAATCGACATTCCGGGCTCGTGAGACAAAATTAACGCATTTGAGAATTAATGACTTGAATAACTATTCAAGAAATTATCGATGAATTAAAAAAAGTACATGTTGTTTAACAAATGAAAAATGTTCAAGCATTGCGGATCAGGATATTAAACGCTAAAAAAGCTTTTCTATTTCTTTCATCCTATTTTCAGTTTTTAAAACGCCCATATTTGGAATCATCACCTAGATGTTCAGGACAGGACAGGACTAAGTGTGGGAAGCACCAACACATCGCCTTTGGCAGAACTGGTGTCGCTCCTTCACACTAACCGTCTTGAGAACACCACCTCCACAGGGCGCACGTACGCCCCACATCAGTGTTAATTGAAAAATTATCATTAGGGCATACAGAACTTGTGGTAGAGCATGGCCGGGAATACAGTTGCTGATGACAATGACATTACAATACAATACCATATATTACAGTTGATAGAAAAATATAAATATAAATATATGTACACAAATAACCACAAATAAACAAATAGAATTGAATGGAAAACATTAAACACCTACATGTTCAGGGACATCTCACGGTATTTAAAAATCCGGGTGTCACGAGACTTGAAACTGAGTCCTTTGTTAAAGACCAGGACGTCTTACATTGTCAAAACTAACCTTGAATGATGACACCACTAAGGACATACGGTCTTTTAAAGCTACCAGTCTCGGAAGAGCTTTGAATGATGAGAGTTCCCTACGGGCTGGAGGCATACCTTTTATATGACTTTATAAATTTTTAATTATAATTATATAATAATAATGGGATTGTACTTTCCTTTTTCAGGCCTCAGAGTTAGTTGAGTACGTTCGTCGTGAATTCAAGAATATGTTAGAAAGTAATGAGTGGATGGATGCAACGACTAAGGAAAAGGCAGTGGAAAAGGTTTTGATGCATTTGCCTCTTTATTTTTTATAGTATTTAAAATCACAAATTTCCTAAAACAAAGCATAAACTTAAACACTTTGCTACTCTAAAGCTCTTTCCAACTCAGATTTAAATATCTAGATTAGAAATACTATTTCTGTGTTTGTAATATTAAAAAGACATTTTCAGAATGTTCCTATATTGATAGCTTTTGTTATACTCTCATTTAACTTAATGAATTCATTTAAAATTTTTTATAATTTCTAAGTATCGTTATAATTATTTTGGAATCAAAAGAGGCAACATGTTAATCTTAATTGCCTCTACCATTCTATTAACCATGTGAAAATTTTCAGTCATGCTCAAATTCTTCTAATTTCTTCTTTCTAACTCATTAGATAAATACTTTTTCAGACAAATTGAACTCCATTCCATACCATTCAAGCTGATTTGTTTGAGAACCTTTTAAGTACTGAGATTTCTGTATTTAGATAACTTTTACTACTTTGATTTATACAATGATTTATTTTATTGTTTGTTTTCATAGCATTCAGATCGTGAGAAATTTCTACATCCGTAAAGAAAATTAAGAGAATAGTAATATATTTAAAGTAGAAAATGAAAAGATTGCAAGAGACATGGCTACAAACCGCTTTACAAAATGATGATCCTATTTTAGAAACTGAAATATAAAAGGTCGTAAGTTCTGTCAAAAATATCATATCATTTCCTTCATGAAAACTTGGACTTTTAATTTAATCTTCAACCAAAATCACTTGACACCAAAACTTTCGAATTCGTGTTATGTGATTTCAAAACTATCTTGCCAAGCTTCACAAAATAGACATTTATGCAAAATTCTGCATTTTTAATAAACCGACGGCCAATTTCTTTAAACTGTGGTGCCTTATATTACTCGAGGAAAGCATTACACTAGTTTCTATAAAGCAGTATTTCGACAATCATTTATATTTTAGAGCAACGGATAACATAACATAGTTTATACGTGCTTCACCTACCAGATGGCACTACGTGGACTTGGACCCAACTGGAGACCCTCATATTAGGAGGGGGCAGGATCACAGTCAAAAGTTTTTCCCTGATGGATCAATAGGTCTCACTGCTACCACTCCAAAGCCCCAATCCGAGTTGGCAGACTTTTAATTTGTTCCTCATTAACCATGGCTGCGCCTGGTTACCACTCCCGGTTCTCAGGTTTGGCCAATGGCCGGGAAAGATATCGAACTGGAGATATGACCGACCTTCTAAAATGCTACCTGCCAGTACTACGCGGGCTGCTTATCACAGGAAGACATTATCTAGCAAACTCGGTGCCGTCCCACACCGAGCTACAGACCAGTTGTTCCTAGACTGACGCCGATCGGCTTTAGTCGAGCAGAGAAATGAATCAAGTATCTCCTGCTGAGGAATGTGGAACCGCCAAATTCAACGGTTATGTGACCCCGTGGCCGAGACTGCCTAAGTACAGATCCTAGCCAGTACTTCGCAGAGTTCTTTGCGTCGACCTCCGGGGGGGGGCTAAAATGAGCAACTAATAAGTCAAACATTTGTTCAGGTAAATTGCCAGATCTCTTAATGCTTGACCGAATTAATTTCACAAGAGTTATGTATGGTTGAGATCGCAATCATCTATGATGGTGGAAGTCATGCATAAGCAGCTGTCATATTACTTAAATGTGTAATAAGAGTAATTTGTTCGACTCAGCACATTTCCATTTGTTTATAGTGAAATTGCGATCGACTGTGAACCACTATAAAATTCGCTGCATATTGGTCACCATAGACTTATAAAAAAGTGTCTCACTGATTTATATATTTCTTTACAAATTCTTCTCACTGTGAGTATGGAAGGCATCAGAATCATCAGATAACCACCTGCTCAGGATTAAAAAAAATTTCAAAAGGTTTCAAAACATATTATGCTATTATTGTTTAAGCTGAAATAAATGCATTGCTAATTTTAAATTAAATAAGCAATATTTCAGTATTCTCCCAATAGGCGATCTACCTTACTTATCTATATAGTTACTTTACGGATCGCTTGGTTGCGCCAATAAAATTGTTGCTTTTACACATTTGTTTCTTCCGCCATTTTATTCAAATTTGCATGATCAGATTTGTTATTATTTAATATTAATAATAGTTTACGATTTGCAAAATATTTATCTCTTTTGTTGTGTTTTATGCTACGTATAAAAAAACTTTCAGTGTGCGAATAAAAGGGTGAAATACTTTAAAAAAAAATTAGATTAGGTGGTTTAAATATTCAATGAATTACTCGATATTAATATAAACAAAGTGAGCTCCTAAATGTTATGGATATAGACTATATCAAGAATTTCGCACATGAAATGAAACAGAATGAAATAGATAAGCGATAAGACAAAATACAGCCGATTTTGTACTGCTATACTTAATTGTTTTAAAATATATTTACAAATAATTTATTGTAAGTAGTGTATCAAAAACGAGAGAGAATGAATTTAAGAGAGATAAATTAAACACTGTGACCGCTTAAGATAACAGTTATTTCATTTGCTTCTTATTTCAGCTCTTTCTCATGTAAAGGTGAAAAAAATTAATTTTTAGCTGAGAGTAAATTGATAAAAAAGATTCGAAGACAGCATTTTAAAAACTTTTCGCAAATTCATTTGAAAAATTGCATGTGAAACAAACGATAAGCATAAACATTGCTTTTACAAACAAGTCTGGAAAAGAGGTGGCGCCATCTAGTATGAAACTGATTAAGTAATTAACGAAATTCGGTCAGTCGCCAGTTGGAAGAATACCAATATTTTTTCTTTTCTCTTAAAATTCGAGGTAAAGGCTAAAATCGGAAAAACAATCTGATAGAATCAAGGACATAGGAAAGCTGAGGAATTTGATAAACGTTTTCAAATTATTACAAATTCTTGGGAATGACCTGAATGAATGAAGTTTTAAACTGTTACAAATTCTGGCTGCTTGGAGCTTTTCATGGTCTCCTTATGTGTAATTAAGTAGAGGAGGAAATTCCACTTAGAATGAATTTTAATAATAAATTTTCGTAATAAATAACACCACAATAAATGTTCCTCCCCTTCCTTAGGTAGATAACTTTCATGTTTTCTACCGTAAACAAAACAGACCAAGCAAATCACGAAGCATTCCTTCTTTGATAGACGACATCTGCATGATTTGCTTTAAGTAATGTCAGCCAACTAAAGAAAAGTTTGACTTTAGTACTTTTCTATATTTTCAATACATACCTTCCAAAACATATTTAAGAATTAGTTATACTGTATTGTTATTATAAAAATAAAATATAAAACCTCATTTGTTTATATTTTATAGGCAGCAGCCATGGCAGCATATATTGGATATCCAAAAGAACTTTTGAACGATACTCTACTCTCTGCTTTATATACAGACGTAAGTATGTTACGGTAAAACTTATTGTCTTATTTTTTAAAATATTTTGTAAGCTTCTAGAGACATTAGGTATGGAAGCAGGAAAGAAGAAGAATTAACAACGCTTTAGCCGGGAATCGAACCGCGGACCTCTGGAATATCGGCCCAGTGTGCAGACCACCACAACACGAAGGTACGCCAAGAAGGTGGGAGAAATACCTTATATATTCCCCCTTTTAAAGGGCGACTGGGGTTTTTAGGGGACCCAATCGCCAAATTCTGGGTGGGGAAAAATCACTATCCACCATCCTTTTAGTTCGGGCGCCACTAGAGACATTAGGTATTTTAGAAAGCAGGAAAGATGAAAAATTAACAACGCCTTCGTCGGGAATCGAACCGCGGACCTCTGGAATACCGACTCAGTGTGCAGACCACCACACCACGAAGTCACGCCAAGAAGGTGGGAGCTTTAGCGCTCCCACCTTCTTGGCGCTTTAGAGCTTATATAAGCTTTAGCGCTTGAGTCATTTTTAGATGCAGTGTATCTATGATATATCAATCCTCTTTTGCCTTATAAAACACTAACGTAAGCATGAAATATAAACAGAATATGCTCGGAAAGGCTTTCTTTACATAATGCATTATTTCATATTTTGACAAATTTAAATGTATTGTAAGTGTATTGTTTTAAGGATATTCTTTCATCTTTTGAATGTTTTCAAAAAATATAAAGGACTTTAGTAAAAATTTAAACTTTTATGATTCATTGCAAAATAAAGCATCGCTACAGTGTTGTTTTGAAATTCCAGATTCGGGCTTCCAGGTGCTCATATCTGGGTGGAGAACTACGTTATTCAAAATTTTATAAGGTATTTCTCCGGCTTTCTTGGCATGCTTTCGTGATGTGGTGGTCTGCACGCTGGGCGCGTATTGCAGAGGTCTGTGGTTTGATTCCTGACGAAGGTGTTGCTAATTTTTCATCTTTCCTGCTTCCAAAAAGTGCCTAATGTTTCTACAATCTGATGGCTCTAGATACCTCTGTTTTTTGACAATGCGAGAAAAATACATACATTCATGTTTATTCTTCATTATTTAATTTCTTTAAATATAATAAAGGGCGATAATGTTTGGTGGGAACATTTTAAAAACAGATTTCTTGCTTATAGCGACTCCACAAAGTGCTGCTTTGAGATTAGCCCTTCTGGACTAACGCTCCTTTCATCTTTAGCTTAGATGTCCAATGCATACTGTGCAGAAAAAAAAAAAAAAAAAAAAAAAAAAAAAAAAAAAAAAAAGAAGAAGACAGTTCTATATCTTCCGTTCTAATGGGCCGATTGACGAAATTCAAATTGCGTTCTTCATGACTCGAAAGCGCGACTTAGGATATATATCAGATTTACATATAGCACTATTCTAATTTTGATTTTGACACGAAATCAGACCTTTTCTGAAATAACTTGCCAATGTTTTCACATATTTCGATTCTACGGCTCAAATTATGCCTAAATATTAAATTCTGTAAAATTTAGCGCGAAATTTGCGGAGAAATTCAAACATTTATATTGGCACTTTTTTCAGTTCAGCCAAGAATGGTTCACTTGGCGAATGTCTTAATACAGGGTGTTTATAAAGTCCCGGACCCATTTTGATGTTTAATAACGCATTTTTGTACTTCAGTAAGCTGCTCTTTCTGTGTTTAGAACCTCTTAAAAGTGCACACATGATGCTTTAATATTCTGTCTCAGCTAGTTGCTTAGCAACTTTTGCCAAAATTTAGGAAAATTACCTCACAAATAACCTTATCATTGAAGAGTTAAGGATTTTTATAGCTAGTTTAATATAATAATTTCCTTATTTTTTCAGTTACACATGAGCAACGGGAGTTATTATGACAACACAATGGAGTTGAACAGAAGATCACATAACAAGGAGACTTCAAGACTTTACAAAGCTAACGCAAAACCGGGGTAAGGAATGCTTTAATAATTAATAGTTCCACCATTTCTTCCCCCTTAATACCAATTTAGCTTAGCGTCTTAAGATGTCTGTTCAAATTTTAAGATCACTTTGTGTAAACGGTGTGCAAACAGTAGGGTTCTAAGCACTTTAATATTATGAGTTTCCACAGAACTGTTGATTACAGTTATTTTTCTCAAAAAATAATTTTAGAAAAAAATATTTTGGTGGCAGATAAATTTAAAAATACGATTTTTTATCTTCTTTGAAGCGTGAAATGCATCTATAGTTTTAGTAGTGTTTTTTAGAAGCGTAGGCATTACTCGCATATTTTGAAAACATCAACCTGCTGCACTGAAAAAAAGCTGTTGAGAAGTATGTATTCAAACTAGGTTTTTTGCTACTAAACTAGGTTTTTTCCTACAAAGGTTTTTGAAATGTGAATTTTTATTAAGAACCCTACTTTATCAAGTAAATATATAATGTACTTATCAAGTAAATATATAATGTACTTGATAGAAATTGGTATACATAATTATACAAATACATATATATACATCGTTCTTTACTTCACTATCCCCTTCCTTTTTTTACTAATTTTAATGGACGAGAATTGGCAGGGGAAAATTATACGAATAATTTAATTTCCCAAGGAAGCGGTAACAATGAGCCTATAGTAAATGAAAAGCATTCATGAATAAATTAAAAGTATTCATGAATAAATTACCGGCAACTATTTCAATATTATATAATTAAATGAAACCTTCACTCCAGTAGGTAACTTGTTATACATTTTTGTGCTCATATAATAGTATGTGCACAAAAATGTACAAAATAGTTCTATTTCTCCTTTTCTGCATCTTGCATTCTTTCCACCTACTTCCATGACAGAGGCATGTGCCCCACGGATCTCTGCATATGTGGCGAAAGGGTGACCCTGATCATTACATTTTTGACTGTAATCTAACAGATGGCAAACATCTGATCAAGCCGAACAACAATCTCATACCATTTAAGAAATACGTAATAAAGAACAGACACCTTAGAGCCAAAGTCAGAGATTTTCTTATACATATCCAAAGACTCGGACTTGGATATTTGTCATATCTAATGCTTATGCATCTCCATATATTACTAATATATATTTATTTGAATTTTTTAATTTAATGTTCCAACAATTTCATTTTTCTACGCAATGCTGATGGACAGGAGCTCAAAAGACTTGCTTATTATGCCTTCCGCCTTAGAAAGGACATTTGTTCATACATTTAGACTTTTCGAAGCATCAGTTGTTGAACATTTCAAGGACAGTCTTTTCTCAGTATGATTTGTGTACATTATTCATACCAGAAATCATTGATCTCAGAAAGTCCCCTCAAGGGGTTAATGGTAAAAAAAGAGGGGCGGGAGATCCTCGGACCACCCCCGGGGTGTTCTCCCTCAAAATTGGGGTGGAAAGTTTGTTCATTTAGCTAGGTTGTTTAACAGTTAGCTAGGTTCAGCATATCTCAGTTACCTGTGGTACTACGGAGGTGATGGTCTAGCTTCTAACTGTACCTGTACCTGCCTGCCTCTGTCGTCTTTACAGCTTATAAATCATCTCCATCGTCCACCCTGATCTTAGCCACTGTTAAGCTCCTCTTCCCACGTGTAATGATTTACAGAACACCAAGAGCATTAGACATTACCCATTTCTTCATTAAATTTGCATCGTCAGTCAAAGAAAGTTCACCCATAATCCACTAGCAAATCAGCTATTAAGATGAAAACAAGGAATTGCGCGGAAGAAACTCCGTTTAAATTTAGGCTATCTTTCTTTCTGAACGCCTAGGGGAAGGGGAAAAATTACGTGAGTATCTAAAAAACTTCGAGAACATTGTGCCACAACATTAGGAGAAAATACTCGAGTAAATACTGTATATTACTTGTATTAGCTCTCAACTCAATTTGGAATTCTTAAATGCTTCGAACATTTTTTCGCATTGCAATCTCGTAAGCGATGTGGTTTTCAGTTTTCTTGTTGGAAAAAGAAAGACAGAAAAGTCTGTTTTGAACGCCTCATCTGTTCATTCCGCCGAGCATGTCAACCTCCACGTGAAGGACTTTAACTTCTGTGTTTACAGTAACTGCAATTCTTTGCTAAATAGTTAGAGTGAGTACCAAAGAAACTGCAGTCAGCAATAATTTCTTGTTTCTTTGTGCTAATTGTTGCACTAAGTATTTTCACTGTTTAATATTTATAGGATTATTTGTCATGGGATATGGATAGGTCAACTATAATTCTTACGATTGTTGATGACTTTAAAAAATCTGCATTATCTGCCTAAAGGAAGTATATTTAGAGTACTGCGAATGAGATGCAAATGTTACAGCGTCTTTCAAAAAAACTGGCAGTGAAATGATGCATCCGTAACAAGCAATACGGATATCCTAGAATTTTATTTTACATGTTCGAAAATTAAAAGGACGAAGATAGTTTATCGTCTCACTTTTAACTAGCTGGACACTATTTCATTCTACGTAGTTTATGGAAGAGTATTCTAGTTTATTTGGGGCAGAAAATTTAGCTGGGAATATCAAAATTTTAATATTATGAGCGAGTTCAAACCAATTGTGTTTGATAATTTTGTGCTGCTTAATGAGCTTAAGACATACATCTTAAAATATATTGTTTTGTTGCTTCTGGAGATTTAAGATGGAATTCTTTATACTGGAAAGATGCCGTGGAATTCTTTATACTGGAAAGCTGTCATGGAATTCTTATTCTCTCAGCATTTTCTTGCATTTCTTTTGTCAGAAATTTAGAAACAAATATGAAATTTCATAACGTGTTCTTCATACATATGCATTCATCATTGTAAAGGATTTTTTCCCTTCCTTCTTTCTAATTCTTTCTTTCATTCCCTTTGAGTTATGTAACTGAAATATTAGTTCATTACTAGTGGGCTTCCTGCATGGAGAATGGTATAGTCATTTTCGTTTTACTAGATCCTATTTCTGCAGAATAACGAGATTCGAAAAACTGTAATATTCGCTTTTAAAACTTACAGACCTAAAGGAAATCTCTTTCCTTATCTGAACATAGTGAAAATGAAACCTTAATTTTTGAAATGTTTGCCAAAATTTCACGAACAACTAGAGCACTCTGAGTAGAAGCGTTATCGCTAAATAGTAAATCTGCGATTTGAACGACATGTTGTCTATTAGGTTGAAATAACACACATTAATGTACATTGTTCAAACTAAGAGAGCCTTAAAAGTTGGCATTAAAGAACACGAGACAGATGTTACGAAAAAGGAAACACAGAAGTCCTTTGTTGGTACGAAAATTACCCTTTCAATTTTTCTGCAGCTACAATTATTCAAGAAACACCTTCCATTGGTGAATTAGATTTTCTGGAGGCGTTTCACATTCAAGAAATTTTTCTGTTCTAGTTAACGACCCTAATTCCAATCCAACTTTACCTTCAGTTTTTAAGGAAATTATGTTTTAGTTTTATTACTTGAACAATGATTGGTGCCACTAGCATAACTCCTGTCCAGCCATTCTTATCTTTTCACCATATCTTATCTCGTTCATTTGCACTTTGGCGGCTGATGATCGAAACTTGTCTTGTGAAAATTTCAATTTTTTTCAGCTACAATTATTCAAAAAACATCTTTCATTGGTGAATTAGATTTTCTAGAGGCGTTTAACATTCAACAAATTTTTCTGTTCTAGTTAACGACCCTAATTCCAATCCAACTTTACCTTCAGCTTTCAAGGAAATTATGTTTTAGTTTTATTACTTCATCAATAGATGGGACTAGTAGCTTAACTCCTTAACTCCTGTCCAGCCAATCTTATCTCATCTTATCTTTTCACCATATCTTATCCTGTTCATTCGCACTTTGGCAGCTGAGGGTCGAAACTAGTCCTGTGAAAATTTGCAAATATAACGTTGAATTTTTTTGTTTAACTTCTAAATTAATGTTGTTGATTAGTTGAAATGGATATGCACGAATCCTAACTGTTTTAAATGTTAATGTATGGATTGCTGAAGACAGTCAAACAGTTTATCGCCCCATCTTTATCTCTTAGTAAATTAACTCTAACAGAGAAGAAGGTTTAAACCATTCTATTAGTTAGTTAGTCTAACAGGTACACAGCCTGCGTAATATTTATTTATTTATTTACCATCAGATGAGCAGCTGCACCGCCTTTAAGACATTCAGCTTTTATGCTCAACTGATGGAATTATCTACCAACTGTGTTTTTATATATATAAAATACAATAAAGTTTTAGAATTTTGATAATTACATAATAAAAATTAAATATCAAGAAATAAATATATAAATACATAAATAGATACAATAAATAAAAATGAAAAATTTAGAATTAGATAAATGCCTAAATACAATGTTGTTATACAGGGTGTTTCATAAATCATGGGAAAAACTTGGAGGGGTGGTAGAGCGTACTAAAACATGCATTTTTTTATAGGAATGTAGGGTTAATGTGACGGGTTAAGACACGAGAACCAAAAAACGACACGAGAGGAAAATGTGTTTATGTACAAAATCAATGCAAAGTGCTTCTTTGTAGCAATACAGTATTCACGACCACCAGCAGTAATACATGCTTGGTAACGTCGCAGGAGAGATTGACGAACATTTTGAAAAACGACAGGCATTTCGCGCAATGGAGCAGCCGCAGTGGATCTCGTTCATTTGCCCTTTGGCGGCTGAGGATCGAAACTAGTCCCGTGAAAATTTTTGCAGCTACAATTATTCAAAAAACATCTTCCATTGGTGAATTAGATTTTCTAGAGGCGTTTCATATTCAAGAAATTTTTCTGTTCTAGTTAACGAACCTAATTCCAATCCAACTTTACCTTCAGCTTTTAAGGAAATTATGTTTTAGTTTTATTACTTCATCATTAGATGGGGGCTAGTAGCTTAACTCCTTGACTCCTGTACAGCAATTCTTATCTCATCTTATTTTTTCTTTCATCTTATCTTCTCTTCATCTTATCTTTCTCATCTTATCTTATCTTATCTTTAAGCGCACGCTAATTCAGAACGTAAACTCGTTCTGAATTAGCGTACGCGTTTAAAAAAAGTTTTGAGAACTAAAACCTTTCTAACCTAAGCAAAAACTTCTTGACTTGGTGAACTTTCATAGTGAATACTGTGCACTTCAGTGCTCTTGCGCATAAGACGCTACTTTGTTTGCTGAAGTGTCGCTTAACCTCTGCTAGCTGTTGTCCATGCTTCTAAAAATTTTATCTGTATAAAATAGTGGGTGTATAGCGCATCCACAATGACGATTTGCAAAGAAACAGAATATGGGGCCTAAGAATTAGTTATCAAGGAATGAAATTATGTGTGGAATTTCGGCTACGTCTGTCTTCGAGTGTCATCTTTCTAACTACACAGCAAAGCCTGTCCAGGTTATATCGCAGCGAACCATCACGAATCTATTGTAACTTTCTCCAAGTCATCTTATTACATAAATACACATTGTTGTGAATAGAACTTTTTGTCTCAATATTGTTGTGATGCAAAAAATAAAATATGACACGCCATCAGCAGTCGAATCTAGAAAAGCCTTGCAATTTCTAAAAAATACTTGAACTGAAGAGGGTTGATCAAAAAAGCTATTAGCAGTTTTACGAAATTAATACTTATTGTAAAAATGAGTCTCCATAACTTACTTCGACTGCTGCCTGAAATTAACTGTATGTTTCAATTTCTCTGCGGCGTCTTCTACGTAAAAGCCATATTTTGGAAAACAGTTGTTAACCAATTTTAAAAGATTAACCCCGTTCAATGACTATAATGTACACAGCTTTAAGCAGAAATATCGACTTACTTATCTCTTTCGCAAAGATTGCATTTTCCTCAAATTTAATTCTGTTCATCATTTTCTGAACATATTTCTGTAATGAGCTTTCACAATACTTGGTTTAAAGACAGAATGTTAAAAGCTGTCTTTTGCAGGAAGGGACATTAATGTTGGATGGATTACGAAAATGGATGAGTTACCAAGAGCTTTGATGAGTATTATGTAGGATATTCTGACACTGAAGAATCAGCCTTTTGAAAATTTGAGTTTTTTAAGCAGCTGAATTTTAAACAACGGATTTTCTGTTGATTAGTGTGTATTTGTTTTGGTTTCTGGAAATCTGAACGCAATTTGAAGCTGAGTTTATTAAGCATTGAGTTTACTAAGCGGTAATGTCTATCTTCTTTTCAACTGTAGTTCCCATTTTAGAGACTTCGCCAGAGTAAAAATTCTTTACTAACAAAAAATAATTTATTTGCAAGCAATAAAAATGAATTAAATACTTAATATTACTAGATATTAATAAAAGTCGTGACAGATTTTGAAAAACTTTGCAGGAGATCAAGAAATTCCTTGTAAGTGTGTATTTCAAATGCGTCATTCTTGATACTTCTCGATCACACAAGTTCTACAGTTTCTCAACAGATTTTTAAAAAATAGAATTTCGTTGCCTAATCAGTACACTGTATAAAATACTTAAAAGTTAAATGAAGAAGAACCTCAAATCGAACTCTGTATGTGTGCGTGCATTTATATGATTTACCTTCTTTTGATAACGTTGAATCAGATTTTAATTGCATTCCGCTTTTTGTATATTTTTTTTGTAATTTTTGTATTCCCCATATTTGTTATGCTTCTGACTATTAGTTGATTATTTATATTTTATAAGAAATTTTGGATTTTACTGGTTTGAATTTCATTTCTTTCGGGTCTTTGTGGATTTGGTTCTAAATATCTTTTATAAACTTGGCCAAAATATTATGTATTATTTTTCTTGCCTGAATCATCTTCAGAGCTTTTACTCGCCAGCATTTTTTCCTTTTTCAAGTATATTTTGTCCTATGAGAAACCAATGTTTAAATAGACAGAAATTTTATTTAAATTTACCTATATATCATCATAATGTTTCTATGTCGGTAGGAAATCTACTGCACATTAGATAAAAAAAAAGAAATGTATAATTCTTGGCATTTGCTTATTTACAGTTGGACGAGTCACTCAGGTGCAGCTGATATTTATTCCTGGTATAACATAATGGAGAATAGCATAGGTAAATTGATTTCCCTTAGTGGTTTTATTATATTAATTTCATTAATAAGAAGCGAAATTCTAAGAAATTAATACATTTAATATTAATGGCAGAAGAATAATAGAAATAATTAATTCAAGAAGCAGTTTTCTTTGCCAAAGTTAATGTTACGGGAGAAAAAAAAAAAAAAAAAAAAAAAAAAAAAAAAAAACAGCCGTTATATATTATGTGAAAATTCAGGGACCACATTGAAATTTGTTTTATTATTTAAGATTCTATTAACAATATCTGATAATATTGTTTCTTGAAAATATTATTTTTTTATAAATTTAAGTGACAAGTAATAAAAAATGGAAATAATTCTCATTTCAATCAGTATATTATTTACAATATATTTTCTTTAAAATAAATTCATAAATTTATTCTTCTAAATAATTTCATAAGTTTAAAACAATTTATTTTAAAAATAAATTTATAAATTTAGATAAATAAATTTATAAATTAATGAATTTATTACAATAAAGTCATAAATTTATTAAAATAAATTTGTAAATTAAAGAATTTAGTAAAATAAATTCATAAATTTATTTAATGCAATTTTGCTTTCTTTTAAAATATTTGAAGAATATAAGAACTTTTAATTACAAACTGCTTTTAAATTTTTATTTCGTCAGCAATTATCAGCATTAAACTGGTCATAAGCTAGTTTCTCTTAATCAAAAGGGATTGGCGCATCCGATAGCTTTATTTTATGAAAGGTTAAATTACGAGTAATCTCAAGGTTCAAATGGGATTTTATTGAGCATATTAGAGCAATATTTTGCGGATTTGAAGATTTTAATAAAAGACTACCAACCTTGAATTCTGAACATTTTTTGAAAGAACATATGCTTGATTATGCTGCTCAAATTAAACAATGAGAAAAAACTACTTGATAGAATACTGCAGTTAAGAAAGTGAAAATACGTGAGTTATAACGATATTTTGAAATGCATGGCTATTTGGCGATTTTCCCGTATTAGAAGAATTCACAGATACCCCAGATCCCCACTCCTCAAATGATCACTTTTCAGAACGAGAGTATAAATTAATAAGGGATTAGATATCTAGATAATCTTAATTTGGAAGTATATACTCATGCATTAGTTCTAATGATACATATTTAATTTATTAGCTACGGTTAGCTATTCAAATATTTTCAATCAAAGTTCGTTCGTACTTTTGCAATAGCTAAAATAAAGCTTTTAAACTTACTATTAACAAATTAATTTATTGATGCTAAAAAGCAAAATATGAAATTGAAGGTTTCAAAAATTCGATTAGAATTTAATTTAATTTTTGTAATTTATCTTTTCTTTTCTGAAGAAGGTGGAAGATTATGTAGCAAACAATGTGCAGTTCATGTAATTATTAGTAATTGAGTTTTGGATTAAATGTATCATACAAATGAGGGACATTGAAGAAATGATAAAAACAATAATATATTTTCCAACAGTTACGTATACCGAGCTGAATAAGGCCCACCAGGTACTGAACGGTAAAATTGTTGAACACTGGTAGTTTGGTCCAAGGTAGAATAGTTACTAGTTACAAACACTAATGTTCTTATAAAGCCACGGAAGAGGTAATCAAGTCTTGATAATTCTAGGGATAGAGCAGATCAATGCCCCGCATTACTACTTGCGATCTAATGTACTTCTGATGTTATTGAAATGTAACGTTTAATTGGCTGCGGCTGAAATGGCTGTACTCCATCACACTACAGTGAAGGTTTCTTCGATACAGAAATTTAGTTGTCATTCAAAAACTGTGAAGTGTTGTAGCTCCAGATATATTAAGTAATTGCTACTGGCTAGATGAAAAGGCAACAAAGTCTGAAGAAGTGATCCCCTATAATACTGGCCCAAAGATTTACTGGAAAACGGCTGTGGGCAACTTTGTGTTTACTTTACGATTTCATATCAAATGAGGGTTCGCCATCATCCACATGTAGGTATCATGTGAGCTGAAGATTCCTTCCCTTACGAAGCACGACTAATTAATGAAAAACAAGCAATCAGGAAAAAGGCTATCTTTTATCATACTGTTGTAGATGTATTTCGTTTCCCGTAAGAATGCTCTAGATACCGTAGCAGGGAACCCCAACTTCGTGCGCTACAGCTCGTTCGCCTTCTTCAACTTGAAATGTATTGTTCATAACTTAGCACAATCTCTTCGGTGCCCAAAGCTCGTGCTGATCGTTCTCGGTTCAAGTCAGCTCTTTGGAAGAGATTTGTTTGAACTAAATTATGCCTAGCGCCTACTGTTGGGATTATGTTTCATCAGAAAATATTTCTTGTACAATCACTGTGTGGATTATCTATTACACTCCGCAGTATACCAAATGTACGGTAAGCAGTATACTTTATACCAAACGCATTCGCTTTCGTATGATCGTTTATTCTGCTACCTCTACGTCTGTGTGTGAAATGAATTTTCCCTGTGAGAACGCTCGGACTGACGCTGTCTACCCCATTCGGAAAGCATCTCCAAATGTGCATTGCTATATGATTCCAATTCGTCTGGGGACACCCTACTCGGTTTTACAAATTTATAACCTAGGTACTGAGACATTCTACATATAGGTAATTATCAAGCAATTACTACACTGTAGACTGCAGTTTGATGAAACTTTTGAAGCCGGTATTTCGATAAAGCACTGAAACTACTTGCATCAATCAGGATATTATAGTATGGATCAATATGTAAAACTGTATGAAAACACTTTTTCTCATTTAATGGCACGCAACGTTAAAAAGGTTAGCCGAAAAAAGCGACGTAAATTAAGTGTATTTTTCAAATCACTACTGTTTCAGCAACCTTCAGAAATTTCGACTTTTCCAGGGAAAAATGTTTGTTTGACGATTAAAATTTGCATATCAAATAATTTTTCTGGATTAGCTATAGGAATTTTTCAGATAATTCGAGTTTTATAATCAGAACCGGATTACCTTGAAATTCTTCCTGTTACGCAAAACGCCCTCCTGGGTTTACCAAATCAAAATAATCGCAATTTAAACTTCATAATCAAACAACTTGCATGAAACAAAAATACAAAAAATTAAATACATTGTTGTTTAAGTGCACGGATGCATAAAAAATTAACTTAGTACTTTAGTTAACTAAAAATTGTAATAGTCGGTAAATTTTACTTTGAGAAGACAACGGTTGGAAAAAATTTAACATTACTGGCTACCAGTGATAATTTTTAAATAATGAAAATAATACTTTGCCGAAGGCGCATTTTTAGTGGTATATTAATTTTCAGGAATCGTTTTGATAAATGCAAATATTAGTCACTATAATCTATGTATGAACATCGATACTTAAAAATCGTCTCTTAGGTTTAACATATTTTAAAAATATGTTAATGTTGTTTAACAGTTTATTATTTATGAATACATTGTTTGATAATGAATTGAGTTTGCTTTTATATATGTATTTTATGTAATTACAAAAATATTCGTCTAGAAAATGCAGAGATAACTGTTTTCAAGTTGCTTGATCTATTTAGTTACTCATAGATTAGTCACTAAAAACATTGAAATAATTCTAAATTCAATCAACATAATTTTCATTATCTGCGTATACTCTTGATCAACATCATTCTTTTTACAGGTTTTCCCGCAGGAGTTTTCCAGCTTCCCTACTTCGACAAGGATCGACCTTAGTAAGCTCGACATTTGACCAATGAGAACTTAAAATTTAGGTTAAAATAAAACGCCAAATGTTTGTTGGTAATAAAGATGATTTAAATAAAATCCTTTCAATAATGAATTCCATTGATCCTGCTTCTCAGTTCACTTTTGAACTTGAGACATCGCATTTTCTTCCGTTCCTCGACATTTGGTCATACCTAACATATCCAACCTCAGTACTATGTTTACCGTAAACCTTCATCGGTTTACCTTCCACCACACTTCAAATCATGTCATCCGACTGAACAGAAATTAGCTTCATTATATTCCTTTGTTTTCCGTGCACTTCAAGTTTACTCCTCCAAACTGGCTGATCAAGAACTAAATTATTTAAAAGCAGTTCCTATTGACAGCGGCTTTTCGCCCAACACTATTAACCAAGCAGTTAAAAAATTCTCATCACAACACATCAAAAGGCACAGTCTTGTTTTAGGAGATTAGAAGATTTCTGTTGTCATTTCTTTCCCATCCATTAGCTATAAAATTACACGTATTTTACAGAAATTTAACTTTCGGATCTTTTTTCTCCTATCAGTGAAATTTCTAGTTTCATACTTAAGGACCTCATTTCGGATATGAATTCCCGAAAACAGTTGCATGGACATACATAAGTACGATGTCTGAGAAGGACGTGCTACGATCTGTGGAATAAGGATTACCGTTGAAGTTTTAAGAGCTGAAGCTCTAAAATTTTGTTTAGGCTTCGCAGACAGTAAGGAGAATAATGTATGCCCCATACAGGCAGGTGGGATGTGAATTATCCTGCAAATTACAAATTCAATCCAGAGATTCCCCATTGTCATAATAAGCAGGTCGAGAGTGGATGTTCTGCAATTGAACACCTTCTTAGAGATGATAAAACAATATACAGAACGCGGGAAATATTGTACGCGAGTAAGACAATGCGTGTATTTTGAATTACGATATTGTTGCGTGCGTACGGTCCGATGCACAAGTCCGATGAAAAATGAACAAAAATTTATTATTATCACAACAAAAATGCTTAAATTTTCTCAAATTATCATGCAGTATTACAATATCTCACAGTAGTTATCTTTTAACTACTCAAAATTCAATAGAACGTAATTCAAAACAGCTAAAGAACGCTAATCCGCGAATTCGCTACAATCAACAACAGTAGTTTTTCTAAACAACAACAAACTAAGCAACTACTACAAACTGAGATGTTTTCCTCCTTTTATAACATTTTAAAATCACGCGCTAGAATTTTCCAGTACTTTCTCGAAATCAAAAGAGATATTTATTTATTTAATGCACGCGCTCTTGTATTTTTAATTTTCTGGCTTAGCTTTCTTCTTTTAATATACGTCACCGCACGCGCTGCACTGCGCGAGAAATAAAACCAATTAATTTATAATTGAACTGAATATTAGCTTTTAAATACCAAATTCGTAACACTGCCCCCTTCCCAAGGACTGCACGTCCCGGGCAGTACAATCCCTGGACAGGAAGCTAAATTTACAACTGTGGCATAAATGTATTAATAAGCATTACATTACAATAATAAACAACATGAACAATAAATGCAATACATAAAACAAATCAAATGCTATCAAATTCAAATCAAATACTAAATGCAAATCAAATACTAAATACAAATCAAATCAAATACACATTTAAAAACAAAAAAGGACCATGGTCTGATACTATTTACAATTATTTACATTACGTACTATGGCCATAGTAATGAGCTAACCTGTCGTAATGAACGACTTTAGGTTTAGTCGACTTACGGATCCGAACCACGACGTCATTCAGCCTGTTCAGGACTGTGTATGGACCATCACGAAGGTGACTGTAATTTAGGACTCAGTCCTTTCCGTCGAGTCGGATTCCATAACCACATCTTGTCTCCTTCTTTGAATTGGATCTCTGTCTAGTAGCTCTTGTGTCGCATCTGGGTCTTCATTTTCTCCGTCGCCAAGTTGACTCGCTTTCGAGCAGAAATTGGTGCATCCCATCAAACCGGGCCTGGAGATCTTGTATGTATTCCTCAGGCGATGAAGGCGCATCCGGAGGGCGACTAAACAAAAGCGGTCACAAGGCAGACGAAGGTCTCGACCGAAGAGCTTCTGGGATGGAGAATAGCTGGTAGTCTTGAGTTTCTTTTCGACCCTGGTATGATTTCGGCAGCTTCCCGAGCTCGATCTTTCGGACAAGGCGTCGACATTTCCAGGCGAGGATCCCTTTTGAGGATGGATAGTCATGCCATCAGATGCTGAAAGCAGCTTATTGTTTTTGAAATCTAAGGAAAAATTGTATTTCCTTAAAAAGTCCAATCCGAGTATGCATGGATCTGTAATATCCGCCACATATCCCGTGTGATGGTAGGCGGCACTTCCAAACGTGATGTTTACGTTTAACCTCCCAGTTATGTCGATCTTGTCACCAGACGCAGTCTGAAGGGTAACACAGGATGGCGTCCAAATAAGTTTATCTTTAAACTGTTCAGCTAAATCTTTCCTAATGATGGTAACATTAGCTCCTGTGTCAATGATCATATTGCAAGGAACCCCATCGATATTCCCATTGATGGACAGTCCGTTATTGTTGCCACTCATTATAGAGATCTTAAGCGCTTTAAAACAGGGTTTTTCATTATCTGGCAACCTCCGTTCCTTGATATGGTCATTAATTTGTTTCCTGCGTCGTTGCTCAGAAATTGTCTCAATTTTCGTACCCTGGGGTGTTCTGCAATTCTTTCGTACGTGGCCTTCAGCTCCACAGTTCCAGCACTTTGGTTTCTTGTCAGTCCTTTTCCTTCCCGTGGCATTTATTGTCTGTTTAAATCGTAATGCCTTATTTTCCGTGCTCTGGGGAGTTCTGCAGTCCCTTCGTAGGTGGCCTTCAACACCGCAATTCCAGCACTTTAGGGTCGGTTTTGTTTTACCACTATTCCGTTCCAGCATTCACTGGTCTTGTCAACTCATCCGTTTTATTATCCGTGCCCTGGGGTGTTCTGCAATGCCGTCGTAGGTGACCTTCAGAACCACATCTCCAACATCTTACAGCCACTTTGTTCTCACTGCTACTCCGTATCAAAGCATCGACTTGTCTGGATAAATCATCTAAACGAGCCATCAATTGGTCCCCTGGGTCGTGGACTCGCACAGCTCTGACTGGGTAGCGATCTCTAAGAGTTGCCTGCTGGGCTGCCTCCAATTTCACACGGCGTACAACAGAGCGCTTTTTACAATCCTTTACATCTGCCCATTCGTAGGGCCTTCTGTATTTCGGGATCCCGGATCCCATCGATGAAATATTGCAGGGACAGGATTTCCCTTGTTTCTGTCGGGCACTCCGAAAAGGCGTGATGTGACAGCCTTTCAACATCCGTGGCGAGCTCCTGAAGTGATTCGGTGGGCTTCTGTTGACGGGATTTTAATTGAAGCCTGCTGTAGTCTTTTAAACATTTCTCGCCAAAGCGCAGCTCCAAGGCGCCGGACAGAGCTTCGAAATCTAACCTTTTGTTTTCGGGAAGCGTCTGCAGGATATCCGCTGCGTCTGCTCTCAGAGAAGCGGCGAGATGACAGGCCTTAGCTTGGGAATCCCATCCATTCGCATCCGCCACGATAGAAAACTGGGTCTTATACACTTGCCAGGATGTCTTCCCATCATATGTGGATAGCTTCAGAGATGGACGAGCAGGCATCGGTAAGAATTTAAATCATCAGTCTTACTCCCAGCCGTCGCTACGAATTTCTTTAAAGTTTCCAGTTCTTTGGCAACCGCAGAAACCCGGTCATCAATTTGTTGTTCGATTTATTTCTGAACGGAACAAACTCTTTCTTCTATTTCTTCTTTAACAGAAGAAACATTTTCCTCAATTTGTCCCACTTTATTCTCAACCACATCTATTCTGCCTTCCATAGCATCGAATTTGGTTTCTATTATGCAGGCAATTTCTCTTTTCATTTCGCATTGACTTTCTTCAATCTTGACTTGAACAGATTTTATTTCTTCTTTAACAGATTCCTTAACAACTTTTATTTCGTCTTTAAAAGTTAATTGACCAGTTTGAATGGCCTTCATTTCTTCCTTAACGGATTCTTGGCCCAATTTCATCTCGCCTTTAATTTCTTCTTTAACGGAGTTGACGGCTCCTTCCATCTTTTCTTGGAAAGCAGCAAATGCAGTCATCATTTGCCTGAATTGTTCTTCCATCGCTCTTGTTATTGGCATTCAAATCCCACTTCTGACACCAAAAATTGTTGCGTGCGTACGGGTTCGTTACGAAATGAATGCACAAGTCCGATGAAAAATGAACAAAAATTTATTATTATCACAACAAAATGCTTAAATTTTCTCAAATTATCATGCAGTATTACAATATCTCACAGTAGTTATCTTTTAACTACTCAAATATCCAATCGAACGTAATTCAAAACAGCTAAAGAACGCTAATCCGCGAATTCGCTACAATCAACAACAGTAGTTTTCTAAACAACAACAAACTAAGCAACTACTACAAACTGAGATGTTTTCCTCCTTTTTATAACATTTTTAAAATCACGCGCGCTAGAATTTTCCAGTACTTTCTCGAAATCAAAAAGAGATATTTATTTATTTAATGCACGCGCTCTTGTATTTTTAATTTTCTGGCTTAGCTTTCTTCTTTTAATATACGTCACGCGCTGCACTGCGCGAGAAATAAAACCAATTAATTTATAATTGAACTAATATTAGCTTTTTAAATACCAAATTCGTAACAATATGTTTGCAAATATTTGATTATTTCTTCTCTTGAACCATTTCACTCTTCCGGATCATATTTGAATATCTTGGTATATGTTTTATAATTTAGTGTTCGTTTAACTAAATTACGCTTATCTAAACTGACATGATTTCATATGAAAAATTCATGAAATTTCATAAATCCATGAATAAAGTCAGAAAAAGATATATTTTTATTTCAGCTACCTGAATTTTGGAGGAATCGGTTCCAAGATTGGGCGAGAAATTACTCATGGATTCGATAATGTTGGTAAGTTATTATTTACGTTACTCTGAAAAGTAAAAGACAGCAATTAAAATTCCATTGTCTCAAATTTTTAAAAATATGTTATTATACATTTTATAACAATCCTAATTAAATAGTGTGCATTCTGGTTTGCTGTCAAATAGTGTTTATATAACCATAAAAGGAGATAAATGCGTTCTTTCGTAAGAAGCTCTTTGAATTTGTCTACTTCAAAATTAATTTTCTTCAGATTTTGTGCATGCTTTTGTATCAGACAACAACAATCAGCTCACAGGCAATGTTAGTGGCATTAATATTTGTCGCAGATAGATTGAAATAAGAAAATGGATTGGAAGAATATTTCCGACGACATAGTAAATGTTTGAATGTTGAAAGAACTTGCTGACTGGCATTAGACGTTTTCAGCAAAATAAAGCGTTTAAGAAAAAACATAGTTATGTCAGGTCTGCCTTTCTTTACTCTTAAATCGGATAAATTAAGAAAGTTAGTATATTAAACTCTGTCGAAATAGTAAATATATTACTAAAATTTCATTCAATCTCTGAACAATTAAAAACTTCAAAAAGTAATTTTTAAATATAGCTTCATTCTAAAAATTAAAGGCATTTGATGAAAAATAATGGGTAAATTACATTGAATTAATTTAAGGTTTTTTAAGAGCACAGAGGAATATAAAATGTTTATATTTCAGTTCCAGAAGCTCAAAAATAATATAAAAAACAGTTTACTTTTTCATTATGTAGAAGAGGTTTGCTTTTTCATTATGTATGCTTTCATTATGTCAAGCTTTTTATACCTACCGCCCATTTTGTAGGTAGCAAAATTTGCTTATCGCCCACGGATTTCGCAGTAACTTAATTTAGCTTCAATGCAAAGTAATTTTTTGAGTGGAGGCTTAGTAAAAGTATTCATAGTCAAATTTATCCATTTATTTACATTTTGCTTATATTTGTGAGAGGGAGAAAATTTATGACCCGAGTTAGGTAGCGAGGACATCTGTTCAAACGAAACTCTTTCTTCTGTCAAACGAAACTGTCTCGGAATCATTTAATGGAAGGAAAAGGTGAGATTTTATTCTCGAGAAAATTTCTCCTAGCCGCGAATTTTGTTAAGATATGATAATCCCATTATGCACGCTATAGTCGCAGAATAACACCTAAAAGAATTGGCAAAGCCTTATAAAGATATGGAAACAGAAGAGAAAGAGAGAGAGAGCTGCACGCGGGAGAACGTACTTTCATCATCGGATGGACAAAAGCATGTGCCACCCACCATTAAATCTTAAATCACCCACTAGTAGGCGGTAAGGACAAAGTTGACTATTTCTGGTTGCTATGTATGAGATGTTAGCTGCCTTGAAAGATAACAGAATTTAAAAAGAAAGAGGAATGAGAGTTCTTGTTTTATATCGATGAAGGAAGTTTTCTAAATTAGTTAAGAAATGACTTAGTATTGGATAAAAACACATCAAAAGAGAAAAGCATATTTTACCGTTTACTAAACTCAGCGGCGCAACAGCCCTAGTGGGCCAAGACCTGCAGTGCCCGAAATCTGCTTTCTTGACAGTGGGCCCCGGAGTGCGTAAGCATATGCCCTGAAGAAGTGGTCAGCTTGTCGCAGAATCCCCAGTGTTTAGTCCCCAAACGAACTTGGTACTCATTTTATCGACCAAAGAGGTGGAAATCAAGGGATGAAAGGCTAAGTCTAGTTTGCCCAGCCCGGGGATCGAACCCCGGACCTGTGGTGCTGTTGTGCGATGCACTAGCCACTGCGCCACCGGGCCTATTTTACCGTTTAGCGACAGTAAAAATATGTCGACGTTGAAAGTTTCTTACTTTATAGCCAACAGGGTATCCTTAAAACATTCGCCAACATTACAAAATTATAAAAAGGTAAGTGAACCTGTTTAAATGAAGATCATTTGATATCATTATCATTTGATACACAAGAAGGTAAGTTCAAAATGAAGCCGATCAAAATCTCAAAGACATGAACAAAGATTATTTCCTTAGATGAGGAAACGTTCAACCTAGTCGGCTTAGTACAGCAGATACTTTTCTCATGATTTGCGTCAAAACTCTAAGAAAGTTTTCAAGAAAAAATGTGGATAAACTTAATTATTGATTTTTGGTGAAAATGATAACATTTTGAGTATTAACTTTAAAATCTTCATTTTTTCCGCATACCTTTCAACACTATAAAGTGTGAGAGTTCCTTTTGTAAAGACATTAATGGTGTAATGGCAGAAAAAGATTTCGGATTTTGACTAATTTCATGGGGGATAAAGAAAACTTCTCCCACTTTCTTTGAATAGACAATAACTGTTGGACATTCTATGTCAAACTTCTACAGCGGCCTAAATGCAATCATTCGCTACAAATTATTTAATGCAGGTGGGATCTATTATATTATCTACACAGACACACTTGCTTATCAGCATTTGATTGATTTGAAAAAGTGTTAAAAATTGTTAAAAATGAGACGAACTTATTTAAAAGTCCATTTCTAAAAGCTAGATATTTTAGTACTGATGAAGATGCATAATGTGAATATATGGCTCTTATATTCTGCAGCATGCAATAACTTATAAAGTATTTTCTCTCTCCTTTCTGCATGCCTTCGTGGTGTAACGGTAGCACATTCGGCGCCTATTCGAGAGGTCCAGAATCAAGTCCCAATGAGGGTATTGCTCATTTTTCACACATCCGTTTTAAGAAAACCTAATGACTCTACGGTGGTGCCAGAACTAAAAGGCGGTGGATGATCATTCTTCACCACTAGGATGTGCCGATTGGGTCATCTAATGCCCCGTCGCCCTTTAAAAGGAGTATTCCCTCCGTTCTCCAACGGTAGCACACTCGGCGCGTATTCGAGAGGTCCAGGTTCGAGTCCCGGCGAAAGCATTGCTCATTTTTCACATCTTCTGCTTTAAAAAATCCTAATGACTCTACAAATTTTCGCAAAGAAATATATTAGCGTCCGTTTAAAAGTCTACTATTAACTAAACATTTTCCGTTTAAAGGTCTACTATTAACTAAACATTTTCCGTTTAAAAGTCTACTATTACTAAAGTAAACTACATTTTAGATGCGATTTTTCATGAAAATATTTATACGTCGCTGTGATATTTTGAAACTTTGTAGTAGCTGAATAAATCTTTATACCAAAATGAAATAAATGTTTTTTAAAATCGTTGATAAAACTTTTCATTTAGAGAGAAAAAAAAAAACCTTCCTTGAAAGGGATAAAACAATGAAGGAAAAGATAAAGGCAATGAAACAGCTTTTATTGTTTATAGTGCTTATTACTGCTAAGGATATTTAGTTAGATGTGTAACTGTTAAGATTTCTAGGGCCAGATGTTACTGTTCTGAAAGGTGCTTAAAACTAGTTCAAAGGCATTTAAAATTTCCAGATGGTTATAATTAAAAAATATATTATCTGAAAAGTATAAAAATAATTTTTTAGAAAATACATCGAGGTTTCTGAACAATGTATATATGTTCCAAATATTCTATTTGACCATTTCTTCACTTCACTTTCACTTCTATTATTTTCTTTTTGAATTACACAAAACATGTTACGTGTTCCTGGATATTTAAAGTATAACTGCATTTATTTTGTAAATATTATTAAGGTGAAGAATTTAAAGGGCACTCTTTCAGACTGTTACCGAATATAGTAGTATAAAACATGTTCATTTCTGTATCATTTTTAATAATGCTGATGATAAAATTACAGGTTGGAAGTATGATAAGAACGGTAATAATGTGGACTGGTGGGAACCAGCATCAAATCAGATTTTCGAACAGAAAGCCCAGTGTTTTATTGAACAGTACTGTAACTACACTGTTGAGAACTGTGATCTGGTAAGATATGGTTAATCTTTCATTCTCTAAATGTAATAGATATGGATAGGGAGGTCGAAGATATTCCACAAAGACTATTATTGTTATAAAAGTGCTAAGCGCAGATATGAAGCTATTCACTCAAATGCAGTTTGGGCCCAAAGATTGCAACTGCAAGGGGAAAAATGAAGTAGTATAAAACTATTTTACTGGAGATACACTGGCCAATAAAAATCCCCTCCCCGAGGATGGTTATAAGCGAAAAGATTACAGAGAATACAATGCAAAGCTAAAGTAGTTGTACAGAATATCGTGGGAGAAGAAAACGTAAGGAGAAAGCATCGCAGTTAAGAAACATTATGGTGTAAAACATCTTCGTCAAAAACAAAGAGGCCAAAAATGTCACAGTTTTAAACATCGTCATAGAAAATATCGTGGCAAAAATATAAAGCACAAAGCACCTACATATCATCCCATGACTATAACATCGCAGACGTGTGTTTTTCAGGCTTTAAAAAACTGTAAATGAATATTCGCATAAAGATTTGTGAACGCATGAAGGAATGAGCTATATTTTCGGAATCGTGGTCTGTTCTGTAGAGACTTGCAAATTTACATGATATTTTATGGATAATTATAATTTTATAATGGAAGCTGACAAAACGTTTCAGCTTTTAAAAATAAAAGAAATGTTCTGAGATGTGTAAAATCGTATATACATATATGAACCTACATATCTGATAACAACCCCCCCCCCAAAAAAAAGCATTCATCTACAAAATTATGCTCAAAACGCTTGCTGCTTACACAAGGAATCTACAATGACTATTTATATAAATATATATTTATAGAATTAGAAATATATTTACGGAGATTGTCCTAATACATATAAAATAAAAACTTATATATTATTTTTAATAAATAAATAAACAGATATTTTTGCATATTTTTATTGAAAACAATATTTTTTGCAGCTAAACAGTGATGCTGAAACAACAGCGTTAAGTGAAAATATAGCTGATAACGGAGGTCTGAAAGCAGCTTATCTGGTAAGAAACATATTTGAAGCTTAAAATCTTAGACGACAGTTATTTAACTTTTCAATAAGTATAATAATTTCAAGATAGGATGAAAAGAAGTTTAACAATAGTGTTTGGTTAAACTTCGTCATGCCATCACCTTGTTTATTTAAAGGAAATTAAACTCAGGATTATTGACCAGTGTTGTGCATCGTCAGGTATTTAGCTTTTGGTTATACTGGTTGAGAAGTTAATCACATTCAAATTAAGAAGAACGAAAAACTAAAAAAAGCTACTTATTAGTACGGGATGTTTTTTTAAAAACTGTTAATTTCCTGATTTGCATTATCAGAAGCAAACTTTCCAAAGGTTTCCTGCGTAACTACTATATTGATAGCAATGAATAAGCTTTCAAAATAACACTTTTCAATTAGTATTATTTTCTGTTATTTCTTGAAAGAAAGGAAGAAAAATTATTTTAAGTATTCGATGAAATAACGACAGAGGTTAGCAGAATTTAAGTACGTTCAAGTATGCCATTTATTTGTGAAAAACATTTTGTATTTATCTTTAACTTATAGCTTCTGGAAATGTTGAATCAAATAACTTCAGTTGCTTTCTATCCCTAGAATTTACTTACAGTTTGTGTTATTCCTCCCTTAACTGGTATATTCACTTGCATATTCTATAATATTAATGATATGAATGATATAGACTACTTCAGTACTAAAATATCATACATATGCGTAACATTTTAGCAAAGCATACTTTTATAAATAATGCCTGCATACATCTTAAAAGCCCTTGCTAAGATACGTTAAAATACCCATGTTAATCTAAGAAAAAATGTTATTCGAAGGCCTTGAAATGATTTTTCTTTTGTTAATGAAGTTGTTGGTTGTAGTTCATTCTTTGTGATACATTTACTCTTCTTCTGTGTAACAACTGCAGTGATTTAACTATTAGATTCTCATCGGCCTCACATTAGTTATCTAAAATTTAAATCTATTGGCAGATATTGCAGCCTCACTGGTCATTTACTGTAGTAAGATTTTATGGGAAAGTACACTGTCAGAAAAATTAAAATGAATAATGAATATAATGTTAGTGATAAAGGATAAAATGCATTGAAATATGTAAACAGCTATCATATTGCAAATGTCATCTAACAGTCTTAAAAGATTCTATCTTGCTAGATAACAATATGCAAAATATTCATGATTAAATACTCTGTAACGAAATATGTCAAACAGTACTCAAATTATGATTAAAAGAGTTCTATGAGGGGTAACGTCTAAAGGTTGGATATAAATAAAGAAATATATCTTTTAGAAAGCACTTTACTGACTATCAGAAATATCATGCTGTGTAGAGATTAGAAGTTGGACAGAAAAATACACATATATGTAGATAAGTAAGAATTACTGAGATATTTCCTTTCGTGAACGCACATATGGTTCAGAAACGTTACTGATGTATTTTATTGTCCAGGCCAAAGTGAAAATGTGTTGCAGTTGCTTGTTTGAACTGTTTATTAGTTAATATTGTAAAAGGAGCAGGAATATTACTAGTTCACATATTACTAGGGAATTGACTAGAGTTATAAGTTCTGAATATCTTGATACTTCGAATTATTCAACAAAGTGGTGTTTATGTGAGGGTAAGATTAATTTGTCTCTCGTTGCTTTAGGTTGCGAAATGTGCGCGATTAAAATCATGTAGAGTGTAATGTGATTGGAGCACCTTTGACTCGAGTCAAGTTCTCGTTTAACGGTCAAACTAATCTTTGCTAAGTTGCATCTTTTGCCCTAGCAGATAAACAGAAAAAAATATACCAAATGCTTTTTCAATCCAAACTTCTAATAACATATTTCGATTGTTTCCAACTGTTATACGAGCAACAATTTAAAATTCTGACATCGAAAAATTTAAAATTTTTTCTTGCCAGAAACTTTTACGCACTATGAAACCGAATCTTTTCCCACTTTTAAAACAGGAATGCTAAATGAGTAACAATAATAATAACAAATCGGAAAGTATTGATTAGCATGATATTTTTCATTACTCTTAATTTATCAAGTTACATTTTCAAGCTCTGTAGCGGGGAGATTCGTCGTTTAGTAATGATGTGCCTTTCCGATTGCAAGCAGAGTCACAGCAAGACATTGAAAAGCTTTTCTCTCTCTTTATGGCGTGACTTCAGGGTGTAACTGGAAAGCAGGTCTGATTAGTCGGAAAATCTAGAGTTCAAATCCCAACGAGGGCACTATGAATTTCTTCATGTTATCCGGCTTGAAGAAAGTTCAAAATAACTCTAAACATCACTTGTTTAATTAGCGGAAGTAATGATTCCAACGTGCTAAAATGTTAAATTCATTGTTCTCAGAATTTAAAATCTTCCATATAATTTTACTGGTGTTCATTTTCATCACCAGTTTAAAGACCTTTGCCAATGAAGTTTCTTCTAGCTAGGCAAATCCTGTGCCCTTTATTTAAGAATTAAAAGAAGATTTTAAGAAAGGATGTGTAAATTCAATAGATTCTGGAAAAAATGTGTCATGAATTGACATCTCGATGCAAGAAGAATTCTAAACTTTAGTGCAGTTAACTTTATTATTAATTTCATTATGATTTCGTTATGATTATTTCAATTTCTAAGTGGTGTGAATTTTTTCAATATTTACCTTCTGAAAATATTTTGCCGTTCCTCACCCGAAAAACTGGTGTATGGCTAGTTTATAATAAAATTAATAATTCATAGTTTCTCTATTCAGGTTTAAATTAAATTTCTTTTGAAATGTCTTAGAAATTGTACTAAACGAATATTAATAATTATAGCTTGTGATGAAACAATGGAAGAAGAAAATGCCATTATTGAATAAAGCATCTCTGCTACTAACCAGCCATTGCACTAGAAAATATCCAAATAAATAGAAAATTTCCAAATAATGGCTCCGGAGGTCAAGGTACACTTTTTCTTTGATGTGCGGTTTCTGCAATGCAGACCTCATTTAGATATTTAATGTTATTTACCAGCTTGGAGGATACTAAGACAGCGAGTAGGAAAAGTAGCTCAAATCTCCTGAAACCTTTTTTATTGCAAATATGTCTGAAATTATGTAAAAAAATGGGTACTTCTTTATTACAGCGACTTCCGAGAATGAATCGGCAATCAACTGAGACATTTCGCCAAAATCTGGCTGCGTGTTTTTATATCTCTCCACGTGATCTCATACTAGACCGGCTGCGTGTCCTTATACCTCGCCGCATAATCGTGTTGTTGCGAAATGCTTAGCTGCGGTAAGATGGCTTCCCCACAACGTGGCTTTAGGACTGCCAGAAAATGGCAAGAAAAGGCATGGCTGCCAGATTTGGTGCGTAATCACCCACTTAGCGACATGCCATAGACGAAGGGAGAACATTATATAACGAATTCTTACCGCTTTACCCCAGAATGTTCTCGAAGGCAGGTCAAAAGCTATATATATCATGCTTGTACGCGGAGTAGCATTATACAGTCAGTTTTATCATGAATTGCACCGCAAGAGTCTATCGTTGAGTGCCTCGTGAATTTTATCGTGAAGAGTATCTTGAGTGTGTTGAGCTCCGAAAGCGATCGACCGAGTCGGAAGCAGTATTTAGTATTTTGTCGTGAAACTGTCTTCGCCGTTATAGCCTACTAGCCTAAAGGCTGTGTTGCAGATTGTCAGTTTTTCGACGACTATAAACGTGTTTTTGGAACAATGGAAACGAGTTGATAATAAGATACTGGCTAATAAATTGTGTTCTGATTCTTCATCAAGTGTTGTCTCGAATTCGCATTGTTTATTTTAAAGTATATTCATTAGTTTTTTGTGACTATGACATTTACAATTTTTAATTTACTAAGTAATGAGGTGAATGCCGTATCACTTTTCGAGAAAGAGGTCTTTCACCTGACAAACGAGTATGCCGAAATAGCCGCAACATGACACTTTGTGAACAACATGAAACGGCGGAACTATTTGGGAGGAGCAATGTTAAAAAACGGAAGAAGGGCTTCCGAGTTGGAAATTAGTTCTGCGGTTCCTGTGCTGCAATTGATTAGTGAGTATAATTATTATACAGGGTGAATCTGAACAAGAGGGCAAAACTTTAGAGAGTGATGGAACGAACAATATTTTATGTAACAGTAATATATTAACAACAACAACAACAATTGGGCAGTAATATATTAACAGTATTTATTATAATAGAATACATGGTCGGAACTCAAACGGTGAGCCGCTAGGTGGCATTATAAATAATTATCTCCAAAAAGTTACTAACATATCCCATACTTATCAAATTAACTCTCAATCAACAGTAAAAGTTATCCTTAAAGATATGCCTAGCAGTATACCTGAACAAGCCATTTATGAAGATTTTAAAAATAGAAATTTTCCCGTACTTAAAGTTAAGTAACTTATTAAATGAATAGAAGAAAAATTTATCAAACTACCAATCTACTTCACTGAGCTGGAAAGAAATAAAGCAGGAGAATCTTTTCATAACGTTAATAATATTGTTAACTTTAATGTTACCATCGAGAAATACGCACCCAAAACCAGAAGACCGATACAATACTTTAAGTGTCAAGCTTATGGACGTTCCCAAACGGATTGTTTTAAAAAGATATTTGCTGCAATGCACATTAAAACGTGAAGAGAAACCCATCTGTTATTTTTGCCGAGGTGATCATGTCAACAGTTATCATGGATGTACGGTATATAAAAAGAGATTTCCAGCTCTTAAAACTCAAGAAAAGATTCAACCCATACCTACCGAAGCAGATTTTCCTACCTTAAAAACTAAAATAAATGCAAAAAACCACGAACTTCCAAAAAACGCCGTGTTCAGTACGGTCCTTAATCAGCAGAAGATCCCTGAAAAAGAAATTGCCGACGTTTTCCAAATTTTTCAACACCCTAAAGTTTTAATTCGCAAAAGAAAAAAAAAAAAAAAAAAAGAAAAAAAAAAAATCAGATGCTCAAAATCGAGCACAGAAAAACTTGCCATAGCTATCGAAGCAGTGAAAATTACATTAAAATTTGCCGAAGACGAAAATTAACCTAAGAAGCTAAATTTAGAATCAAGTTCTTCCCGCACTCACCAGATGGGGACTCTCTAGCTGAAGACCTAACCCTAAATCTTGTTTTTCAGCAGAACTTTCATCGAGGCCAAAGGATGGTGCCACTTTCGATGCACTACTTTTCTCCTTCCTTTATTGAAGTATGAACTATTCAGAAACCCTCTCAATGATATTTGTTTTGGTAAAGGCCTTTATTAACGCCGAATATCAAAAATTATGAATTGGATACGGATACCCAACGGCATTTCCTCCCGTGGATTGCCTAGATGATTGCTGGTTATGCGAGCCACAAAATTTTCAGGACGATGGATTGGTAGAAATGGTTCCACAGCTTGGCCACCAAGATCACCGGATCTCTCGTTTTTGCATTTATGGGGCCGTATGACAAGCCCAATTAACGAGTGCCCGATTGAAATCAATAGGAATCTAGTCACCAGAATCACCGTTGTTGCTGGCGATATTCAGGAAATGCCTGGTGTCTTCGCAAATGTGCATCAGTCCCTATCTTGCAGGTATGAAGCCTGCATTACAGCTGGCGGAAGGTCTTTTGAACCTTCTATTACCTGGAGTTTTGCCCTCTAATTACACAATATACAGGGTGCCTCTCAGTTTCACCCTGTACATTGTGTTGTTTATTTTTACATTTGTGATTTACGAGCTTGTTGAATTTATAGGAGATCTTGGCCCAAATCTAAAATCGTCAAACATTGTTGGGAGGCCTCTATAACAAAGATGTACCAAAAATATCTTCTAAACATATTTGAATTAACTTTAACTTAACTTGAGGGCTGTAAATATTCTTGCTATTTTGATAAAATGGTCTCGTTTGGGTAGTATACTTTGACGATCTTATGCTATAAAAATATTTTTTCCCCTTTACTTTTGAGTTTTAAAGATATATTTATTTGAATTTCCCTGCTTTTCTTGCATAGGCCTATCAGTCATGGACAAGAGTAAACGGAACAGAACCATTGCTCCCAGGACTAAATTTCACACAAAACCAGTTGTTTTGGATCGGTGCAGCAAACGTAAGTTTTTATGTAATTTGTGCAGATATTGGAAGGTACTTAACAGGAAATCAGTTTAGCATTTAGTATTTCTCAGAAACATTCGTAGAAATGCAATTTTGTTTTATAAATGTAAAATGCGGTTTTTTTGCAAATCATTATGTAGTTAGGACGTTTCGACAGTATGTAATTCTTGGAATTAATTAGAAACAAATATTTTAAGCGATAACTTCTTAATAGGTGTTAGCAAATCGTTTTAAAAGATTCTTGCATGCCTAAATTGCGGCCGTTACGGATTACCGTAACAGAAAACAACAACAGAAAAAAAAAAAAAAAAAATGTTTATAATCATTTTACGTACGTATTGTTCCCCGAAAACATCGCGGCAAGTACATTGCAGACGAAAACGTCGCGGAGAAAAGAACGTAAGTCAAAAATATCGTCATGCAAAACATCGTGAGAAAAGAGAGCTCAAAGAAAAAACATCTGAAGGATAAAGTATTACAAAACATCGGTCTTTGAAAATAAAATGGTTCAAAATCTTCGCAGTTTTCTAAAATATCGTGGTAAAAAATAAAGAACCTACTAATCATCGCATGACGATAACATCGCAGACATACGTTATTAGGCTTTAAAAATTCGCATTATGATTTGTGAGCGCCAGAGGGAATGAGAAGTATTTTTAATTTTATATTTCATATTTCTGAGTTAAATACTAAATTTTTGTTAAAAAAAAAATAAGAAAGAAATTTAAGCATTCGAAAACTGGAAATGAGTAGAAAAATAATGCTAGGTATAGCAGTTAACACATATAATAAACTAATGAAGGTGAAGGTTATTAATTAATTAATCTCTTTTATAAAGTTTTGTTGCTAATTTTTCATGAAAAATACCCTCGAAAATAGATTAAAAAACAAGATGAATAACTGCATGTGGTTACCTTTCTTAAAATTTTTAAGTTAATTATAAAATTATCAAATTATGTTAACTGCTATAAATAGCATTAATTTTCTACTCATATTTAGTTTCTGAATGCTTAAATTTCCTCACCAAGAATGTAATAGTTAATTTAACATCATAAAAACAATTAAAAAAAATTCTTGAGCGCACAGATCATGCGAATATGCATTTGCAGCAATAAAAGCTAACTCCGAAGTTTATGAATCGCTTTATTTTCGACAATGATGTTTTTGTACAACCATGTTTTTGAATTGCGATGTTTTTTGCTTTTCTCCCAGATGTTTTGTACCACAACGTTTTCGCCTAGCGTTGCTTCCTCCGCGACGTTCTCGATCACGATATTTTTGCCGCAATGTTTTCGCCTGTAACCATGTAGTAGTAATGTATTTATTTTCTAACGTTCAAGCTATTATTTTTATGTTTTCGAGCCTTTTTATCGTTACTGCTAAAAATACAGTGAAACTTCTCTAAGCGATCATGTTTCGCAGACTACCGATTTTGAATCTAAGTAATGTTTGTTCCTTAAAATAAAATAAAAAATAAATAAATAAAAAATAATAAAGTAAAAGAAATCTGTATTTATTATCACCTCTTAAAGAAAAACCATACGGAGAAGATTAATTCGACTGGGACAGTGGGTGGTCAATTTAGATAGGTTTAATTATATAAATTAAGAGTTTCGCATTTTAGAAGAATGAAAACATTTTACCTAAAATCTTCTTAAGCTTTGGGACTTCATTAGGAGAAATGTTTTCCTAAACTGATTCGTTTAAAAATAATGCAATTAAAACTGAAAAAAAAAAAAAAAAAAAAAATGAAAACTCTCAGATTTTACATTACGCCCAAAGGGCCTTTTTTTAACGTTTTGTGTGTTACCTTTATTTATTAACTATCAAAATTCTTCGCACTTAAACCATAAAATTCAATTCAACAGAAATATCGCAAAATAATTTAAAAAGAGCATATCTTTAGAATTTCTGATACACAACCTCGCGCGCTGGAGATAAAAATGTTTTTTGTTTTCGTACAGTGTTGCCATTGCTCGCTTTGAAATCGTTGAGTTTCTTAATCAAAAACTCATAAATGCTTTACAAAATATGAAATAGATAATAAAACCAATTCCAAATTTATATTAATCCATTAATATCTTTCGGAGTAAACCCAAATCAGATAACGTAGTCGAAGGGTATACATAAAACAGCCCACTTAAACTTACTCAGATAGTATTTATGTGCATGTTTTAGAACATTGGATAGCAGGAAACTTTAATCTAAACACTGAAAACCCTCAGTTTAAATATACACAACATAAAATTTGCATTTTAGTTAGTAATACGGAAAGAAGTAATAGTAAAGGCTTAAATCATAGCAATTGGTTAATAAACATAAAGTATTTTGCAACTTTAAATTTGCATGACAATCTTTAGATAGTACATGCTTCAATACCCTGTCATTACACAGAACAAAATATTGGTAGAGGCAAAAATTTTGCTAGAAATATATTGGTATGTATATTTGTATAATGATTATATTAAATGGTTCCAGATATTGTGCGAGAAATCCAGACCAGAATCTATGAAGATTTCTAGTTTGACTTTTCCACGTATTCCAGGCCAGTTTAAGTAAGTATGAAAAGCTTTTATAAAAACAAGAATTATTTCTGAGAAATTTATGTGTGTAATATATATATTTGAAAAACACTTTAATTGCTTTAATTAAATTGCTTTACTTTTCATGAATACGAAAAGAAAAACGCACAAGCAATGATAAATGATATTAAAAATGATAAAAACTAAATAAAAGAATTTATAATAATTTTTTTAAACTAAATGAAAAACAACGCATTATTAAATATGTGTTTATAGAACGGCAAAATTACTTTTTAAAAAAGGCCTAGACTTTATTAAACTTAGGTATAAAGTAAATTCTTTGTACATATTTATTGTAACGTTTTTAGATTAAGTAAGCAGTCAAAAGATTTGTACACATCTTAAATTGTCTTTAGTTTAATTAAGTTAATAAATAAAGTTGTTTAGAACAACTAACTTGGTTATAAAATTAGACAATACGTAAGACAAGACAACATAAGCGGCGCAGAGTTGTTTGCAAGGTAGAAGTTAGGAAAAAGAATGACGTAGTTGTTTGGGAAAGCAGTATTTATACCGACTAAATGCACAAGTACTATATCTAAGCTGCTATTGGTTAATTTTAGGTTGTTATGTAACATGGAAAGATCTCGGATTTGGGAGAATAGATGAATTTGGGGGAACAACACCAAATTTAGAATTGTTAATTTTGAGGTCAATTTAGAATTGTCGTTTTAGTCAGGAATTGTCAATTTAGAATTGTCGTTTCTTAGCGCAGCCATCGTATTTTGTTATATCTTACATATGTATTTAAAATCAAAAGATACTAATTAAACCAAAAAATTAATTAGTTAGTTAGCCACTATTTTTTTTATTTAATTATTATGTCTTGATTACATATTTAACTTCGCAACATACTGAGCGACTTTGATAGTATAATTTTTGTTAGAAATTATTATACTTTTAATCTGAGGGAGATTCCCTGAAAGCTCCGTGCTTTACTCTGCTGCCCAAAACTTCTTGTCCTAAAAGATTTCCGTAACAAGTCACCGCTTACGGGGTTAATATGTCTGTGTTTCAAATATGAGTATGCGTTTCAAACCTTAATAGTTCTAGATTTTATGCATGGTTAGAAAACATCTTAAAAGTTTTAAACTATCTTCTGCATGCCATCATTTAAATTGCATCTTTTGTTTCAGAGTGATAGGACCCATGTCTAATCTACCGCAATTTGCCCAAGATTTTCAGTGCTCAGAAGGTACAAGAATGAATCCAACAAACAAGTGCGAAGTTTGGTAGAAAAATCAAGTGAATAAATTCAAATTCCTGAAAAGATTTTATTGATGTAACTTACTTTAGCTGTGAAATGTGGCACAATGATACATGTTCGCATGTAGTACCCATTACCAGTAAAGTCTGAAATCCTTGTTCAACTGTAAACAAAATAAAATGTTTAAACTATTATTGTGTATAGTATTTTTAATGCAAATTGGAAAACAATAAGAGCAGTATCTCTCAAAATTGCTAAATTCATCTGTGTATTTATATGAGAAAAGAAACCTGCTTAGAGCACGGGAAAACATGTTACTGTTGTTAGAAATAGATGCGCAGTATCATAGTTCTCACGGCAAACGTCTTCGCCTTCTTATGTTTCGATGTAATACCAGATGGCGATGTCGTATATGCAGGCATACAGATCTTTTCCGAATTTAAAAACGACAAAAATATAGATATTTATCAATCATTGATCTTTATCTATGCATTCTTTAAATTTAAATTAGTCTTAATAACATATTTATCTTGTTTCTAACTTTGTAGGATTTTATGTTAATTAACTAATTATTATGATTTGAAACTTTATTACTATAGTTACTTTATTACTATAGAAGTTAAACTATAACTTCTTCTTTCTCCAGTCCTCGCCAGAATGCCAGTTTGTTGCTTGTGTATTTAAGCCGAGCATTTAAGTATTTTAGAGCTCCTGGCAGTCTCACTTGCAGTCACGTACTATCGCCAGCTATGCTGAAGTTTATTTCGGCTTCAGCCATTTTTCCAAAATACATAGTATTTGAAGCATGAGAATAGTACTTAATTAAAAATGATCGTGCGTGTATCGCATAAAGTTATGTTGATATATGTGATGTCATACTGTAGGATATTATTAAAACACCTTTGGATAGATACATCTAGGATGTGGATCTACTTAAGAATTCAAATTGAAGGTTACAGTTCTTGAGTGCTATCATCAAAATGTTTGTGATTTGGTGTTTACATGGTTGGACAATAAATTAAAACATCGACATCTGGATTGAAATATGTTGTGAAAACAATTTCTGCTTTGCAGGTAAATATTATAGCAATTCTTCCTGGAAATGACTGATACAAAACTTGTACAATGATTAGAAAGGCCATTTTAGCTGTTTTTTATGTAACACAACTTCCATTTCACTTCATGGAGAAGAAAATGTGTATTATGTCTCTCCACTAACATATCCTAAACAAATTCAGTGGAGTTGAGCTCAAGGAATAGTACACAACGTTGAAGTGCATGGTTATAGTGATTGATCAAGGGATGGTGGAATGAAGTTAGATTAAGTAGGTTGTTTGAATACGGTAAAGCACACAAGGGCTCTGCCTAAGGGAAGGGACGCTTCGAGAAGGACTTTCCAAAGAATACTGGCTTTTATTCATGTTACACATGCGAAAAACCACGAAAACCAACCATGAAACTATTCAGCTTGGAATCGAACGGAGTTCGAAATGCAAGTATTTAGCGGTATTAGACACCCGCAGAACGTGGAAGAAAAAGCAAACTGAATTTTACATTTTTGAAAGCATTCTGTCGCAGTTTTGCGCAGTTAAGTTTTGCTTTGTTTTCTTGAGAAACAAAATCTTTTTTGGATACAATGTTTGAACAACAGATGGATTTAGCTATTACTATTTATGAATAGTGCTTAGCAATGATAACGAAGAAGAACTATCATTGTTCCTAAAAGATTTCCACGATATAGCGGCCCATCCACAACCAGTTTACTGCTTACTTTGGGCATGATATTATCTGGATAAAATGTACGTCTCTGAAGAAATTCTTCACACATAAACGGTCCCAGAAGTGAGAAAGGGTAATGAAACTAGGCTAATTGGTGAATGATACATATTTGGCATTATATTCTGTAAAGGTTTCATCTTTCCACAGTACTGAAATCAGCGTTTATTACGTTGCTCAATTAAAAATATGCATTTACTTTTGGCATATATTAAAGATGATATACATTACTTTCTCGAATAATATACGTATATTTTTGCAAAGAAGCTCCCAGGGGGTTTTATCACAGCTGCTTAACTGTGTATATTGATTCTGTGAAGTTTCGACAGACAACTTTTGTAGAAAGGGTCATTTTAGTGATATATTGAGCTCTGCCTTGATCTGAGAAGTTGAGTTTTTGTTTCAAATACGTATATATAATAAGTTCTAACACTTTAAAATCCTTTTAAGATAACTTCCTTCTATTTCGGCAATTACTCTGTTTGATGAAGATTTCGTACACAGATGTGATTTTGGATACTTTAGCTTTCTATACATGAAATGACCTGCTATCTTGATAACACATTGAACAACTCGCTCTCTTTTGAACTCCGATATACGTTTTTTTTTCTTAATTTCCTATATTCTCAACGCTTGATGGTATTACCCAAAGTCGCTAGAAATACAAAAGTAGATTCTTCCCAACGATGAAGTCACTTACTACTTCCAGCAGCTGTCGAAACGAAGACACAAAGGTAGCAGGGAGTAATTACTTTTGAGCAGATTAGGAGTCAGTGAAGTCACAAAAGAGTAAATCTTTTAATATAGTAACCTTGCTATTACCACTAATACTGCTGACTATTGAAATCTTACAATTTACTGCTAATGAAAATTCGAAGGGTTCTTGGAGCATAAAATAGGTAAGCGGAGCTTGTTTGACTATACTTAATCTTATGCTAAGGAAATGCTGAGGTAAACATGCCGTTACGCCGCCGTCGAAGCCAATATCAGCAGCTGTCAGAGTTCGTGAGGGGAAGAATCATCGGGATGATGGAAGCTGGGTGATGAGCTCGGCGAGTAGCTCGTCAGGTAGGCCTCTGCGAAGAGGCCTGATTTTACTGCGAAGAGGTGTTGGAACCCTTGGACAGAAGAGACGTCATTTTCAGGGCGACCAGGCTCAGGACATCCTCGATAGACCAGTAATCGAGAAGATCGTCACATCATACGACATGCTCGCGTATAGCCAACTGCCTCATTGGCCGCTATCCAGACACAAGCAGCAGCTTCATTACGTGCCCTTGTGTCTTTCTGAACTATCACAAGGCGCATGGTTGTAGGACATCTGGTATTGCGTGGCGTCCAATGACACCCACAGACGCTTCCGTTTGGAATGGTGTCGCTCATGACAGGATTGGACTTTAACGGAATGGAATTAGGTCGTCTTCAACGACGAATCTAGATTCAATTTGACCAGTGATTACAATCGTGTTCATGCGTGGAGGCCCCGTGGTGAACGCTTCAATCCTGCCTTCGCTTTACAGCGACACACCGTTTCCACAATTGGTGTGATGGTATGGGGTGCCATTGCTTACGATACACGGTTACCCTAATATTGATACATGGCACAATGAGAGGCCAGCGGTACATCCATGACATCCTTGAGCCACATGTGTTGCCAATCATGGCAGGGTTTCCAGGAACCTGTTTTCAACAAGACAATGCTTGGCCACACAGACAGCACGGATCTCACAAGACTGCCTCCGACACCTTAACACCCTTACCTAGCCTGCTCGATCCCCAGATGTGTCAACAATCGAGTATATCTGAGATCATTTGGGACGGCAATTTGGACATCCTACAAAATTGGCCGAACTAGAGGCGCGTTTACAGCCTCTGTGGAAAGAGATGTCTCAGGACACCATACGGAACTTGTATGCCTCAATGCCCGCTCGTATCGCATCGTGCATTCGCACTAGAGGTGGTCCAACCGAGTACTAAAATTTCTGTTCATGTGTACGTTTTCTGCGATAAATAATCCTTTTTTTCCTTGATTTTCTAATCACTTACTTATATCAAAGTACTTACATATGTAAAATTTCGTTTCATTCTGAAAACTCTTTCTTGGTGCACAAATTTTTATGGCAATGAGTGTATATAGTTATTTACAAGTACGAGATATAAAGAAATTACGCATAGTTAGTTGGAAAATTATGGCAGTATAAAGAGAACTGGGGCTAAGCTTTTGATATAAAAGAAGTTATATTATCGATTTTAAAATTATGCGGGTACAATATTTACATGATTCGTCAAAATTTCTTGAAATTTTAATCGGCTAGGTCAGAGAAATCACATAAAAATATTTTATACACAAAAACATTTTATATATTATTTTATACAAAATGCTTATCAAATTAAATTATTAAATTAAGCAGAGTTATTAGTTTAAATCATATTTATGTAATACGGCAAGATATAGTACAGTCGTGTAAAGAAAAATAGTATGTCTTGACGGCGAAACGTCCCGACGGCGAAATGGCCACGGCAAATAAATTGAGTAATGATTTCACAATGGTTGATTTCAGAATAGTCAAGGATTTGTGCATACTATTTGAAGGTGTTTTAAGCTATGATGAGACTAGATATATTTACAGTTGAATTCGGCCAAAACATTGGAATATCGTATTGGAGGTAGAATAACTGCAAATACAAATGCTGTTTATATGTGCCTATTTCTTGGAGGTTAAAGACCAGGAAATTGTGACCAGCAGGAAACATGAGAACCCTTAAACTTTTAAAAAACGACGAGTGACTTCCTGTGAGTCATCAGCTGAACAAGGCTTTCCTGATATCGTTAGGGTTTCAAAAAGTTTACTAATGGGATTGAGAGTTGAGAATGAAAAGGAGAAGTATTGTTCTCCTGATGGACAACTACTAAATGAAATCCAAGCCTTCAAATCAAAGCAGAACACAATGTGAGGAATTCGACAAAAAGTTAGAGTGCCTGTTAAAAACTTGGTGCAATATATCAGTAGAAATTCCTCCGAAGCTGAAGATTTCATAGATATTGACTATAAAGTGATAAAAGAAAGAAACCCTGTCAGATTAAACTATCACCGAGATGCCGTAGGAATAATTTAGAAAATTGAGGAAAAATTTTGATCCTGTACAAATGTGTTAGGCTTTAATGGCTTTGTACAGCACCGTATATTATGCATTTTACATTATTGTTTACTAAAGGAAGTACCCTATGCCAGTTAAGCTAGCTTGAGAGTAATGTATCTAACAACAGACAGAACGATGGCGCTGTAATCCCTCTCTAATTATTGTCTGTTCCGCTGTCTCAGCAATTCTCAGACTGTTCTGCTCCCTTAAACAGGCTGTTTTTATGCTTAAGGCTTAAGGTGAAAATCGAGCAACCGGTTTTCACTTTAGTGGCATA